ACTATTTGTTTCCCACTTTCAAAGTGCACATCCATTTCACTTTATCTGTGTTGTGCAAATATTTCATATTTTACTGCTTTTACCACGCCCGTGTTTCAGACTACATTTAAAATGAGCGCGCCAGGTTTCTTGGGTGGTTTCCGAGTCTTCCTTCAAGTAATGAAGGTTCTCCGCTCTGCATTAACCCCTGATCTTTAATTAAAATATTTGCTGCAGCACACCAAGACCTCCCCAAAGACGAAAGAAGGCATAACACTAGGGCAAAAAGTGGCCCGAGGACCATGCTGCCCAGAGGAATTAAAAAGCAGACTTAAGTGCTTACGAATCCAAAACGGCAAGGTAAATAAATAATCAAAGTATTATATGGCTCTCCTTCCCTTTTGAGCGTTGTCCTTGGCGCTCTCACGTCGGCCAGCACAAAGTAGTCGGTGTTGTAGAAAAAAAACCCTGCCACCCAACCTCACCACTCATCGAATTTGTGCGCAGCTGGGATTTTTTACCTCAACATCGTTGATCCCTCTTGGCAATTTTACTGTACCTTGAGTTTTTTCCCCTTTGGGAATGGTATTGGGGAAAGAGGGGAAAATGCATAATCCATCACGCGTATCTATCGGCAGTCGAAAGAACACTGGTCTAAAAGCCAAGAGATTTAAAAAAAGGTCAAAGTCTTAAATCGTACCGTGGAGACAAGGTTCAGTGTCTATTCCCCATTGCCACTTTGATCTCATTTTAATGCTTTTAAGCGCGTTCACTCAACTAATCTCATTATACAGGTACGATACACAGGCCCATAGCGAACATTTCCAGGTGATTCACGGCAATGTCACTTCAATTGTTAACAGCGCTGCTACAGAACACGAGACTGGGTAGTTGCCGAAGAGAGGCATCATTTCCATCCCCCCTTTAAGGCGTCGTTACAGATTCTCCCATCTATGGTACATGCCCTTCTTCCCTCACATTAAGGTTTAACACTCAGTAATAGAAATCAGGGTCGATGTCCTTTAAGATGGAGTTCGTTTTTGCTGCTACCAATGTGACGGCCCGATGCTTCGCTGAAGACGATGTGCAGAAGAGCTGGGGGCTACAAAGGCAGAGTCTTGAGTGCCCATGAAATTAAAGCAAGGAGCTACGCAAAAAAACTAAAGTATGACATCCGATATTTGTATTTTAATTTGTGAATTGATATTTCTTGTATTGAGTTGTGATCAATTCACATATTCCTCGGCAGTACATTTTGGAAAGAAATTGACCAATGAAATCTAAACCTTGAGAAACGCAAAACGGTTTTATGGGTGAAGTGCACACATTTACAGGGACAGAAGCTCTTGCAATTTATGTTTTGATTTACTACCCCACCAAGCATTCATCACGCGTTGCAAAACACACCTGTACCCCGAAAATTCACTTTTTTGAAAGAGCCCCCGTCAAGGCAGGCTTAATGTTTACCTAAAACCGAATGTTACTGTTTAGCAGGCGGGAAGCCTTTCTTGGACTGCCGTGTCATCGATGCTATTAACAGCTGCACTCAGGTTTTACAGCTTAATAACAGATAGGTGTGTCTGACTGAGGTTTACCCACCAAATTTGGCTTTGTACAATTTGTGATTGTTTAAAGATGTAGGCATGGAAAAGATAGATATGCAATAGACGATAAAAAGTGCAAACTGGGAAAAGGATTTGGCGCAAATATGTAAGACCAACATCGCAGCTTATAAAGCACATGAATTACAGCCCAAATAAGAAGTAATGGGTTGAAGCATCTATACTTAACTCGTCAGTGATAGCGTGTTCCGTTCTTAAGCGAGACTTTCATGTGAACCGATAATGGCTTATGAATCAGTTTGTTGATTCGGATGGGTGTCAGATTTCATTTCAATTGGCTTTTAATTATCCATCATCTACGTAGATGTTTCACCTTAAATATCGGGGTCGGATGTAGGAAGGTAAGCTAGTAAACATTTGGTGGACAGGCAACGTGCTCGTTACCCCCATCGTCGATCACAAAGAACGCTTCATTCCCCACGTCTTATGTAAATTACTTGGCTATAATAGTTTTGTTGCGCCCCGATTCTGCCTTAACGACGAAATAAATCATGCTACTAGGGCAGGAGAGGGGCTACTGGCATGCCCCGGAGGCAAAGCCGCCCGGTAAAAATATAATTCGTGAAGACTTAACTTCCCTTCGGACTAAAACAGAGGTAAACAAATAATCAAAACAGCACAAGTCTTAATTTTGACTTCTCTAGGGTTAGGTTCTCTAATTTATTCGCAGTAGTAGGGAAAAAATGCCTAAGAAAAGGTGGCTTGAAAAATGACCGCAAACTAAGCATGTGCTCAATGTTGACAATGAGCCTCCAATAAGAAGCTGTCAACAGTTAGAGACGAATCAAGTAGAGGGATAGCTGCCTTCAAAAGTGCACAAAGAAATAGAGGGAATTATTTCGACTAATGTGGTGGATAGCACCGAGAGAGTTCTCCATTTTAACAGTAATCAACGATCGGGCAATAAACGATCTCAACATTGAAGTCAATGAGCACAACCATTTGCTGCTCCGTGACTTGATTTGAGGTGTGTTTTATTTGCCCCTATTTTAAGCCCTTCTTATTAACCCTTTTAGCTGGTCGCAAGTGGCAGTCACCCATTGTGCGTGACTGACCACGTAATGGGTAGCACCACCAGGGGTTAATAAATCAGGAATCCTTCACTTGTCTGTGTTAGTTCCTCGCCTTAATTCAAAGGTTCCGTCCTTAAACACTGTTGATTCTCATAGAGCCCACGCCAAATACGCCACTTTTACGCTTCGTTAAACTGGGTGCACTACCGCATTTCTAGTTATTCAAATGCCACCTCAGACATGCGGCTTCACAAAGGGCATTCAGAAAAATTACTCAAGGCACATTCATGCGGACTACTACTAATCATGCGCTCCTAAATGAAATGTCTAAATCAAAATCGCAGATTTATTTGCACCCGAGTCGCTCTGGGTGACTTGAAAGCCAAGTATTCCAGCATCGTTAAGCTGCTCCTAAACGGATGGACTCCGTGATGACGCATGACTGAAAGACAAAGAAAGCAATGCCGATCACTGACAAACCACCCATTTCACAGTCTAAAGCTTTTTTCGGAGAGTGGGGCAGATTAATCTGGTTAAAATCGCTTATGAATCTGCGAATTGCCGAAATAACCTTAAGATTGAAATTTTGTAATGTTCAATCAGAAAAGAGAAAAAGACGAATTAGCCATTTGCTTATTGCATCAAAAGAGTCATTGCCTTAGGCATAGGTTCTGCTCAGTTGGGTTTCATCTGGTTGGGAATTTCAAGAAAGGCGCATAGGCGCAGTCGACCATTTGACAAGTGTCAACGCGACATTTGTTTTCACTAAACAGGAGCGCTTTCCGTGTGAATAGGCATGTGGGCAGCGAATTTCCTCGGAAATGCATACACTGTATGCATTTACATTGCGGTTTGGTAACGGAGCTTGTCCCGGCCGCAGCATGTCAAATTAGTCACTTGAAACCGATGTTGAAAGGTCAGAAACGGAGTCCACTTTCAAAGTGGCACGCATGCGATATAGCTCAACTAACATTTAAAGGCTTCATTTACAAAAATGGCGATGGTGACCATAATCGCCTTCCATGACGATTTTTGGGAATTGAATATACATTTTTATTCAAAGTGACTTTCAACTTACAATACATTCGACTGATTACAAAAGATGTCGGATATTTATATAATTAATCGGAAAACATGTCGTATTTATGACAAATCCAGCAAATCACCTCTCAGAACAATGAGAACAGATTTCTGTCAAGCAGGTTTCAAAATTTTTTTAAACTTTTCTTCCGGTAGTAATGTAAATTTTCTGCTTGTTTTTAAACTGCCGTCCTACCCCCTACTCAGATTTCCATTCTAGACTCACTACGAGGGTATGAAACGATGTGCAAATGGGTGCTTAAAATACGGAATGAAAATCTACCTGAGAGGTTGCAGCTAACTTAGGTCGCATTCTGGAACAAAAAAAAAAGTGAACTTGCGCTTTTTATGTTTGCAATAAAGAGTAAACAATGGCCTGTCAATTTTGTCCCACACAACTGTCTCATAGGTTCCCATTTAGTTAACATCCATACAATATATATCTTTGGAAATTAGTGGTACATATTTCCGACTTTCACAGATCCAAATCCAATCTTATGCAAGAATAATGCATTATGGGATTTCAAGGGCCTACTGGTAGAACACTGGGAACGAAATTTGCAGGTAGGAACAGTAAACTACGACACAATCACTTTTACGGTCAGTTACTCTGTTGTTTGATCAAGGCTGAGAAGTTTGTCTAGGAAACAGGATACGTAGTAATTTATCGTAAATAATCCCTTTATGTAAACAAGTTTGTCCAACTTGCGAAATATCTCTGAGCTTCACTGTAGGGGTTGCAAAATGGGGAGTGCATTGAGCCGAACATTGCGATCAAAGGCGAATCATGAACGCCAACTTATGGCCACTGAAAGCTCGCCCACTTCCCGAGTCCTCTAATGGTAGACCAAAAAGTCGCCAGACGGTCGCATTATTGCAGCATACGCACAGAGACTTTCAAGTCAAATCGAGGCTTCGCATTCTTCATCCCACTATTAGAATTGCTACTGCGGTGTTGTTAAATTAACCCACATATCGTAGACCAACCCAGAGATCGCTAGTAAAAATGACACACCGGCGACTATACGCACACTGAAGAGTGCGCGGTGATGAAGGAAGGTGTAAAAGTCTAACCAGCGAACACCTGTTCATGGGCAGACATCAAGCATAGTCGCTCAGCATTGAGGCATGCGAGTCGCCAACGTTCCTAAGACGACCGATCTTGCGTCCGTCAGCGAAGCTCCCGGCTTTAGTGACTCTCAGTCCGCAGTCCAGACATCACTAATGAGGACAAAACATCCAACGCGTAAAAAATCCAATCTAATAGACGACTAAAATGCCGTAAAATTCCGCCGAAAGCAAACCTTCCAATAAGATCAGTGAACACAAGCACCTAAAAACATTTGTCATTCCAGCTAGCATAGGCAAAAGAATCAAGACGTAGAGGCTGTCCATGGATGGTTCATTTGTAATAACATATCCATTTATGCCGAAACTTCCTAGGCTTGAATCCTCCGTACGCTCAACCACAACAACCATCAGTAGAAGTGAAGAAACCTGTAGTCGAAAAGTGAAGGTGACACGGTCCACTTTTGGTAGCTAGACCTCATCCGTACTAAAAGCAAGTTTCATATCAATCACGAGCAAATAACTCTAATAAACAACAAAACATAATTTAGTGGCAGTTATTAATGCTAAAATTAAATCTGCCTATAGAGATATGAAATACCACCCTGTAACTCTCACTACCTTAAACGTCAATATGAAACAAAATTAAGAAGTCCTTTTTGAGAAACTGATGCTTATATCGGGTTTGACCAAATTTCTTGCAAAGACTACGCACCAGACCGTAGTATTGGTTGAATTTATATACTCATTTCTACTAAAAATTATTAGTCGACGTCAGGAGTTTCCCGCGCTGGCTTGATTTATTATATTTTGGTAGAACAAATGCGGAGATATGTCGACAGTGATAAGAAAAAGGTCGCTATTTACATAAATATAAGTAGCATGCCTTATTTACAGTGAGCAAAAAAAGTAGTCGGCATCTGATTAAATCAAGGATTTAAAAGCTCTCGCCTGCCGTACCCTCTTTCTCCTCCTCACCTACTTCTCCCATCACTGATTCCTTGGCGGACTGTCTTCCAGCCTCAGAATGGAGGATGATATTCTGCGCAGTGATAGCTTGCATCCAATCATTGGTGCTCTTCTTGAAGGACGATAGACAACCCTGCACAAACACGCGGTCACCCAAAGAGACATTCTTGATTCGTTCTATCAGTGGTTTGTCAAAAACTTGAATTCTGAGAAAAAAGTGGTTAAATGAGATTCAGCAGAGTATACAGTCCCCAATCATCAGCTCTATTCTCTCAAGAATCAAGCCAAGCTGCAACAATCTCGCCGATCATCCGACTCATGCTTTCAGCATTCATCGCCCCTGTATCGTTGTAGAAAGATTCTTCACAAATCTCTAGGACTAATTCAGACCTTTAGAAGGAACCTAAACCAGTAAAAAACAAATCGACAATGTAATCGTGACGCAAAACTTAGACTCGGAACTAGGATCCCTCTGCCAGACAATTGTCAAAGACGAAGATTCTCAGGAGGGTTAACAGAAGAAAGACCATTCTGATCAGATTCATCCTGTCCAAAACTAATTGATCATTGCTATTTCTCTCGCAATCATTGCATATCTCCACATCACGACGAAATTGCCTCCAAAAGGTTCAAGAATTCAGTAGAGACACTTAAAGGTGACCATAGCGCTGAGGAAGCAAGAGTCTAACAAAAATTAGCAGATTTTAAACCACCCACTTGATGCCTTAGCACAATGGTAAAAGTAGTCCTAAACCAGCATGGAGTTTACTCTAAAAAGGAGGATAAAACAAAAGAAGACGAACCTGTGATAGACAAGCTTCATCTTGTAGCGATCAGCACCACGGTACCTAGCGCGAGTTAGGAGGCTGAACGTGGCGGTGGGCCGTCCCGATTGAGATTTCTCTATCGCGACCCCGGATGAGGCAACAGAACCGAGCAGTGTTATCTGAATCCAAGGTAATGAGTAGTTTACAACAAAGCGTATTCAGAAAAAAGTGGAAAAATGAATAATCGGGAACGAATTTGCCAAAATTGCATGGCACCACAAGTTTAAAACCTAAATCCCCGCAAGTCGGTCTCCCTGTATATATTGGCTTCACCCGACATTGAAATGGAAATTGATCCTCAACTGGAAACTAGGGCGATTAAGAGACGGAACAGACAGAACAATTATGACAAAAAATGCACAGAACCCGTCAATTTATTATCGCCAGGAATGCTGGGCTTAAGCGCACCATGCAAAATTCCGAAAAACGATAAATAAAACCTTAGAATGGAAATAAGTGTTCTTATTAAGTCACCTGCTAAATCAATCACAAAGGCTGCATGATCAGACCGGTGACCATCGAGTAAAGTTGTGTGTTTACCTGATTAATATCGGATGAGAAAATTACACCAGAATCTGAAAAAGACCTCCAATGTTGCCTCAGTGACGAGTGACGAAAGCCAGTAAGACAACGCCCCAGCATTGTAAGCAAAGAAAAGCACGGACAAGGTTAAATGAACCGCAGGACGCAAAGAATTCAAACAAGCAGAATTATCAATTAACTTACATTAATAGCAAGACAACTTTAAAATGCTGCCAAAAACTGATCAAGCTGCAAATTTGCTATAACAAAAATTAATAAAGCTTGCAGAAGGGGAGATGGCAAATATCCAAAATTAGTTTTACTATATACTCGACCCCTAAGGCATTTTGACTAATCTAGCAAAGGGTTTTGCTGAAAAGTTTGTATTTAATATGTCAATGAAGACTGTTTAGCAAAACTATTAAGAGGTCCCAAAAATTCATTTTCTTTTGCCAAAACAACTGCAATGCTTTAAGAATCCATTTAACTCTGTGCTTGGGTGAGCGGATGCCTGGGTTCCTGCAGATTGCACTTTCCCTTTTGCCATGTCCTTTGAACTGCCTTAATATAAATCATTAGCGTATTCGGGTAGCTTGGAAACGCATCCAGAATTTTATGCGAAAGAGTTTGGAGCTGTCACTTGTACTCCACTAAAAAAATATTTAAATCTGACACCTAAAGCGATTACAGCTCCACTACCGCATTTCGATATTCTGCTGGAATTCTATTCTGATTAAGCCTTACCAATTCTGAGGGTGATAAAGCATTAACGGATTCACTGGCTTCTTAATCCTCAAGCTAGAACGATGCTCCACAATGAGTGTATTCCTTAGGCTAATCGTTATTCGCAGGAAGGAGAAGCCAAAAGTTAGATTTTTGGGAAAGTTTTAGGGTGTCTTTAAGGAGTCGTTTTTCCCCATCTATTAAATTTTACCAATATGTTCGCATTTCATTTGCAATAAGCCGTCCCCCCATTCAGATGGTAGTGGCTTAATGACGGTTTTAATTTTTCACCTAAATAACACTTCTTTATACCGGTGACAAATGGTATTTATTAGCAGCCTTCTTCCAAGACGCGAAATTAGAGTGATTTCGAAAGCAGAATTCAGTATTTTTCTTTCTGTTAGGAGCCTACAAATTCAGTCATTCTCAACAGATGGTCCTCTTCTGCGAGGCAAAGCGTACTCTATCTAATAGGATAACTGTCTTTGTTTCTATGACGAGATGGAAAATCTTGATGTGTCGGAATAGGGGTAGATACCGTAGATGGGAGAATACATGACGATCTCTAACAGAAATATTCATAATAACTTCGTCCATTAGCAACTACCCAAGTCTCGTGTTCTAGAGGGATGCTACTAGCACACAAAACGGCACTAACCGTGGCCACGACCCCTTGGAAATGTTCGTTACAGAGCTGTCTGCAGTACTTTTATAAAAATATCACTGGAGAGAACACGAGATATCTCCTTAGCTCTCTGCTGGCAGGATAAAATTCATATGTAGTTGGGCAGCACTATAGTGGGGTCAAATGTGTCGACAGGGTACAGACGCGGATCTTTACACCACGAAACAATTCCAAACTTCATCGTATTAAATGACTGCTTTTAGGCCGGTGTTATCACGACCAATGGTGGCTATGAAATATTACCAGAACATTTCCTCCCTTCTCCTAACATAGTTCGCAAACAGGACGAAACTCCAGATTCAGTGAAATTTCCAAGAGAGATCAGTGATGCTGCAATCAGTCATCTTCTTAGTTGCACCGACTACGTTTTCTTGCAGCGCCGACTACACTGTTGTGGCCTTAGCCATCAGATCAACTTCTTTAACTGAAGACAAGCTTAGTAGGTAGTCATCAATGTAGAATACTCGTTTTGCTCTGGTTTAACCTTGTGACACTTTACAGTTCGCTTTTGGGTTTAATTTACGCAAACAAGTAGGCCATGTAGTTGCAAACCTATGCACTGTATATGGAAGATCTCAGATTTGGGGGTCAAGTCACCATCATATCGCAGGAGGAATCTCCAAATCCTCTTATCATCAGTCCGCACCTTCAACCAGTGGAGCGGCTTCGAAATCCACAATTAGGGTATATGAGAGTTCTCGGAACTTCGAGAGCACCCCACACAAATTGTTTACTAAGCTTAGTTTGGGAAAAAGTTGCTGGTTGCAGGTGAGATGCAGCCCGTTCTGTCCAGTCTAATTCTGCTTTCAGTTAGGTCCTAATTCAGCACTACCTTCAGCTGTGGGATATTCCGGACCAATTGGTCCACTCTCTTCGAGACCATTCTTCAAGTCCATTAACCTTCACACAGCCGAACCGCGTTACCTAGCAAGTAAAATTAGCCAGGTTTTCATTGCGATGGCGCTTTATTATGCCCACCAATTATGCGCATTTAAGAAGCAATGTAAAATAGTGTTTTCGTATCTTCTTTCGGCATCACCTTCTTCTTCAAGGGTGAACATGTGTTCTAGATTTGCGTACAATTTGTCGTTCCTGATGATATAATTCACCCTGACGCCCTGCATCTTTGAGAACGTGGATGCTACTAGACCTAGAATTTCCCAACCTAGTAGGCCTTTTATTCCGTAAGGGTTATCAGAATCGCTAAGATGTTGTTTTACCCCCCACCCCGCCGATTCCCTAAAATTTTAGTTCCAATTCAAATACGAACTTCACTTTTATCTACTGAAATGGACACGTACTCTGGTTGCATCAGCAGAACAGACTCCATACGGAAACTGGAGCTCTGAGTGGCTCCAAGGCTCTCAGACTCAGATCAGTCACTAGCGTAGGCTTGAGAGTTTATCAAAAGCTGGCTTATGGCCTGTCACTGTGATGAGAAGATATTCTTCTAAATCATCTACTCAACAAAGTTCTGTAGGGTTTTAGACGTGACTAATTATTAGGCTGCTTCAGTAGTGTCAAACAAAGCTTTAAGTCATAAGGAAATATGGTCGGTGATTTCGCGTCTTAGGACTTGAGAATTGGTCCATTCATTAATCTATCAACATACGAAGTCCTAAATAATCTTCCAGAATTTGAAAGGCTTCTGCAATGTCCTATTGAGGTTTGGGGTCTGCGAAACGTGGACTGGTTCAAGTAGACTGGCCTTCTCAAGCTGCAGTGAAGGACTTCAACAAGTGGACATTATTCTCCTTGCAATTAACTACGGCTGCATGAAGGTTTGGAATGAGGTCAACGGAGTTTAGGAGGTGTTGCTGTACTTGAACAAGCAACAAGTGAAAAGTTTCATGCAACTTTGGATAAGCAGATATTATGAGGCACTTGAATACACAGTGCGAGTGGTTTCAAATATCACTTGTTTAGAGGAGTGGTTGTTGCGGCAGTTAGATTAGTTGCAAAAACTCCTTTTTTCTTCCCAATTCCAAGCTTCCTTCAATGCCTCAACCTTTATAATTGCTTGCGCCTTCAGTTTCCTCATCATAATTTGAACCAGTTCCAACTCGTAATGGGCGCAATCTTGATAGTTCTACCTGTACATCCCTCGGAATGCAGATTTGTAAGATGCAGAGGAATTTGTGTGTCAAAAATGTTGACCCAATGGCCATCCGATTAGTTTTATAGTTTTACTGGTAGTATTTTATGGTTCAGGTCATCAGCATAGTCACACTAAAGTAAACATACGGCAAGGGCAGAACACAAGATTGGGCAAGAAAATAATACAGGTGGAAAGTCGCCTTTATCGTATTAGCCGTGATGATAGGTCAGGGCACAAACCAATCTCACGGCACAGGAATGGAATGAGTAATTATGGTGGCGATTCGAGCGCCGCCCAGCAATTCAAAATAAGGACAACAATAATTTAAATAGTTGTAGCAAAAGGAAAATAAAGATAAATGCAACATAAACCGCGCAAACATGAGTTTTAATTGCTATAGCAAATAGGACTCATTCATTTGGTAATATTCCCCTACCCCATGCAGCCATACATCATGGTTCCGTAGATAAACAACCTCTCGCCGCAGGGACATCATTGATTTACCTCGGCCACCCGTCTACTAGGAAGCACACCACTTCCCGCAGCTTCGCGTGGCGAAGCATGGACAGGCGCGAGGACAGACAGGCGCCTATCCGTGGTGCGCGGTCAATCGACAGTGCGTGTGTGTGAACACTTAGGCTAACTGAATATAAGCCCTCCCAATGAACCAATCAGGTGACTGCGCATAATCTTGCTCATTTCCCAGCTTACCCTTTACACGAACGCATTTCTCCAGCTGCCCCCCAGTAGAATCACTCGCTTCAAATTAGCATGCATTGCTTAGAAATACTGCTATTTTTGGATCTCTTGTACTACCAACTCCAGTCTACAATGGGCTTTCAACTAGAAGGTGGATTTGGTGTCTTCCCATTTACTGAAACAGGTCCAGTTGAGCCCGAACACGAGGCGCTTAACCGCCGTGACGAGACCTACAACACAGGTCAGGGCTACGGGGGCGATCTACTCCAACACCTCCAGACGGACCCTCAAGCAGTTACCCAACGCGATCGACTAGTTGGGATGCTTTTCGCTAACTACAAGACACATGAACGTCCAACAGAAAAATTGGACATTCCCACGGTCGTGGAGATAAATATGAAGGTGTTAGCAATCTTTTCTGTCGACGTGCGCACCATGGACTACTACATCGATGCTCTGCTTCGTCAGACATGGACGGACCCTCGTTTGGCATGGAATCACCGGGAAGGTTTCAAAAATTACACTCAACCCTTAGTCTCCCCTACGCTAAAAGAGAACCTGTGGTTACCAGATTTATTCTTTCGTAACGGAAAAGACGGGTACTTGCACAAAATGACTCTCCCTAACTACCTTCTTCGTGTTCATCCCAATGGGGAAGTGCTATATAGCCAGAAAATCACTATGAGATTTTCTTGCCAAATGGACCTTGCCACCTTCCCTATGGACACTCAGTACTGCCACATGAATATCGGCAGTTATGGATATACTCTGAGTGAACTTCAGTTCGTCTGGAGAGAAAAGGAGCCTGTAGAACTGCAGAATAACCTCCAGCTCTCCGAATTTAATACGCCTACGAATTTCACGACCCTGGATTGCACAGCCCAGTCCTCCACATCCACTGGCAATTACACTTGCCTTATGGCTAAGTTTAGTCTCAAGCGTCAATTAGGCAGCTATCTCGTGACCACATACATCCCCAACATCCTAATCATCATGGTTTCCTGGTTGAGCTTCTACGTTTCCGTTGATGCCGCGCCAGCCAGAGTTCCTCTAGGGCTACTCAGCCTTTTGGGTTTGTTGACACAAGCTTCCTCAATCACGGGCAACCTTCCGCGTGTATCATACATAAAAGCTATCGACCTGTGGCTCATCTTTTCCATCATCTTTGTCATTGGAGTGTTGGTAGAATACGCGATCGCAATCACGATGCTTCGACAGAAGAGGAAGGAGACATGGCGAGGCGATGTTGAATTGATAGTGAAGGAAGAATTAACCCGGTGGTTAGCAGCATGTGAGCAAGGTCAAATGGCAAGTATTCAGGGAAGTGGAGGTGTGAGAGGTGATCAGGGCTTTATCCAACAGCAACTGGCCTATTTTAACGATCTAGATGCCTTCCTAACCAAGTCCGTGATTGAGGAGGCACGAGCTAAGAAGGGTGACAAAAAGAGTCGTGTTCCAGTGGCTGTGGAGTCGGAAATCGACGCTTACAGTCGCTTTTTATTTCCCACCTGCTACATTATGTACAACATTTTCTACTGGACTTACTATTTGGCCATTGTTAAGAAGTGATCCTCATCCATACCTCTCTGTGATTCAAGTTCCAGTAGGCATCTAGTTTCGCATCCTCCGCTATCGCGCATGCATATGTTTGTAAGAATTTGACCTGTAAATTAATAACATTGACAAGATAATATATTGCTACCATTTGGACGCATTTCCACGTTCTTAAGTCTTCGGGTTAAAGCCTTCCTAAATAATAATATATTTTGTTTCTGGAATTATTCTGTAGGAAGCAGGAGCTCCTACTGTAGTTTTAACGGATTTTTAAGGTCAGAAGGAATTTGGAGTGTATTTTGACAGTTATTTATTTTGCCCTAGGTTCCAATTTTTATAAGTCCCCCTTTTCTAGATAAATTTTCCTCTGGAAAGTTAACGGTTACTGCTTCCTTTCTTTCTGGATCTTCATTCCGCCGAACGTCTGTTTTATCTCTTAATAACTTTAGGGGTTATTTTCTAACAGAAATATCGTCTTTTAGAGGATCTTGTTTTATTCCATGGGTTGTCAATGGTAGCCGTGAGCATCGATGTGCCACATCGACCCATGCTACTGTGGTCATCACCCGGAATCTTCCCCTGCTTTCTTATTCGACCATCACTTAGTACTACATAGTATCGAAAATGATGCCTCCACGTCATACAATTTTAAGGACTTTGTGATTACTGTCTCTGGAAATAGCGGACTACTACAAAGAGTGTATCTATAGCTATATATGCCCCAAAGTGTCTTCGATGATGACACTAAAGCAACAGTGCCTAACTCCCAGATGGCTGAATGGAGAATTTCCGCTTGCATGTGAAATACGATTAATAAGTAAAAAGATAATACGGGGACCCACACAAAAACGCCTCAGTCGTTTCACAAATCCCTTATCTACTCTAACCAATGGTAGGATGAGACCCGTACTGAATCCATCCAGACAGTAGATGAATTTGTAATTAAAAAGCGCTGGGAAATGTCTATCTTATCGTAAGATACCGCCACCTGTACCGAATGTTAGTTCCCATATCACTAAATTTTCCCTGGTTCTTCAATTTCCACGCTCTCATGTCTCATAGAATCTCCAACCGTATTTCCAAGAGACAATACCCAGCAAATATCACCATGCCATTCCTTTTCGTCTCTTTTAGGAAGGTGTAGTAATGTTCACTGTCTCAAAATCAAGAACACTTATTTTATAGTCACCACCGTGTCATTTAATTGCCCAGAAAATGTTTGAAAAGCCCTAACTCACTAGAGAAAGGCAATTGTCTTAGCGGAGTTTGTTTTGGGACAGTAATTTGGCCAAAATGTATTTTAAGCCAACTGGAGTTAAAACGTTCCCTTGGTGCATTTCTGGTAGTGTTTAGTAAAAAAATATAAATAGTGCAATATCATGGTGAATAAATTATACATTTTCACGACAAAGGACTTGACGGCGTAAAAAGCATTAACCAGGGAGCATAATGTTGGCGTGGATTTCACAAACTCTCATTTATAACATTTACCTATTTTACTGAATTTTGCAGTAGATTTCCTCATGTTTACCTGGTTATTTTTATGAAACGTTACAAAATCTTGCAATTCCACTTCTTTTTAAGGAATTTACTTGCTCTTTATGTATGAAAGCCAAAACAGCATTTTTTTTTGAAAAGCTATTAATGATACCCAAACCGCACTTGTGTAGCTCCCGAGATTTGTTCGAAGACGAAAGAAAACTTAGTACTTGGGGAGGGTTTGCATTGTCGATAGACAGATGAGTTCGGGGGCCACCGGAACGGCGCGTGGGCCGGGCTACCCGGTGGAAGTACTACGGCGGAGCCCTAGGGTGACCCGTTGCTACAATCGTGAGCGTACGGTGCGCGACGGCCACAAAATCACCAGTTATCATTCCTCCTTCGGCAATCCTCTTTTAGAGTTCCAGAAAATTACAGGAAAGAATCGAGAACCAATGAAATGAAGATGATGAAGCCTTTAGTTACACTAAATTTGTTCTGTAAAACAAACCGACTTCATATTAGGTAATTTGACGAAAAAATCATCTTTGCAATTTGTTTATTAGCCATAGGTACTAATTCTAAGGTGTGATACTTTATGTCAATTTACCGCATGTTCAACCCGTCGGCGCCTTACTAATCCAGTCTCGTATGTTAGATTTCGGTGTGATGCCAGCTTTTATGTGATTAAAAGCAAAATCCTCCAATTTTACGAGAACATGGCTTCGATTACACCGCTCTTCTGATTATCATCAAAAGTTTTTTCCGTAACTCTTTACCCATCCCTGCAGGAGATCCTCCTACTAAATGCCACTTTAGCGCACTTTGAAGACATACGAGACTCGTGTGACACGCAGTTGTCAGAGGTGTCAGCGCCGCTTATAGCAAATTCCGAGGTCAGAGGTGCCAGATTTTAGAATGACACGCTCGACCTGAAGGAAGCGCACTTCGTGCCGGTTAATTCACCTCCAAAGTGTCTAATTAACCGATGATTTTGTCTTACTCAATGACTAGGTCTGCAACCTATTTTTGAGAACAAGTAGTTACGATTTCGAAATAGTCACATAGCTTCCAACCACAATCAAAATTTTCATTGCTTGAGTAAAACAATTTGGACTCAAAATTTCGCGTAAATCCATGGGTGTCGTTAAAATTTAAAATATTATAATCCACAAATGTCATTTTTCCCCTTAATCAATTCATTTTCTTTAATGGTGGGCTATCTAACTATATGGGGGGAACTCTGCTACATAGAGGTGACTTAAGTGCACAATTTAAAAAATTCAAATGTTGGACCTTCCTCTCCGACTGAATAAACACATTCCTACACAGTTCTGCGATAAGACAATAAATTGGTAACTACACATCATATTGTGTCAATTTTCACCTTCTGCCAAATTCACCCATCAGTTTGGAGTTTTGATACTAAACACGCCTGTGGACTGATCGTTTCAGAATTCTTTCAGAGACAGGTCACATGCTGTGCCTCTTAGATTTCAGCCGCTTAAAGTGCATAAACTGACAAACCAGTTTCTTTCATGGGAGCCTTACAACTATGCGGCACATCTGTTTGTAAACAGCGTATCTGTAATGAGAAAGCAAGGAGGAAATATGACGCCGTCGATAGTTTTTTAGGTTAGACGGCGATGTTTACCTTCTGACCATGTTATTATGTTAAAAGTAATCACATACTAAATCTATAGAGCCATTTTTCTGCAGGGAATCCTATTACTTCTTTGATAACAAGCGGTCAAAAGCGTTTGTCCACTTTAATGACTTTAATGTTATTTTATCGGCATCCCTTATAGCAGTTGCCAGAAACTATTATTTTGTAATAAAGCGAAAGACCTTGCTGCAGACGCCGACTTGCCAAAATAGAGAGGGCAGCAAAGGAGGCGTGCGAGCGGGCGTGACAACAACTTTGCTAAAGCACAGTATCGGAAACACGAGGCGATTTCAGCCTCGTATATTCGTAGCATTCGACTGGCCTTAGCCCTACAGCATTGGTGCGCTTAAAGTATATCTCCACGTGGTATCGGTCAATCAAAGGTGGGCGAGAGAGCGGCGTTCAAGAATGACCGGAGTATTAGCCAAGGAAAAGAAATCTCCAGTAAATTCGAAACAGCAGCATTTTCGGGGGCTACAGACATTCACACCTGCTACCAATACTGTAGACAGCATTGGATAAGTCCAACTGAACCATTCCTCCATCATCCACCCCCGCCCCTAGGTCGAGCACCACTTCAGCCTCAGAAGACTGTTTTGCATGTAGCAGACTGTGGATGAAATTGTTCGCTGTGAATAGTTCCTTCATCTTCTTACCAGTCAATTGTGACTGAAACCGACATACTCAATGGGATACAATTCTTTAGATATCCAAAACCAGTGAATCAGTCGGAAAGCAACTCTGGGCCTCATACGTCAACAGAATTTACCCACTTATGAATGGGAGAACTGCTGCTTCATCGTCATTCGCATCTTTTTTGGCACTAGATAATCACATGCAAAATAAGTGAGATAGGAACGGAGGTGGCTAAAGCTGGATTTTTAATGGAGTCCGTAAACAGCTCATCCCTCATTGGGAAAGGAATGCAAGTTATAATGATGCCTAGTTTGACGACTAGAGTGCTTAAATTGCTATTTTGGGGAACCGTACTATTCCATTTGATGGCATTACACACTACTGAGTGAAATATCAGTAGTAACGACCTTGAATGGTCAGGTGGTGAAACACGGTGCTACCAGCGGTGCCTCAGAATGATACTTGTCAGCACCGGATACTCGTGTCCATGATATTTCCAAATTTCTAAGCTTAAGGATTTCCCAATAGTGCCCAAAGTATGGTTACTGACATCCAAAATAGCATACCACATTTGCATTCTACTCGAAAACAAAAAAGCCGCGCCAATTGTGATATGTAAACTCAGTATCAAAACAGAATCAAAGTGTAATAACTTCACGTGGTCTTCTATTTGTGGCTACTTCATATGCCCTACAAGCTAGAATATACTTAAACATGAGTGATTCATACATCAAAAGACGTTTTCTCATCGTTTGCTATGAAAATACCTGTTCGATTTCCGTGATCTGTAAAAGCCTGAAACTGCACCTGTTCAATGATCAAACTGACCATCCTAACATCAGTCTCTTATTTGATGAATAAGCTGAACGGTTTCAACCATTTCGAACTAAAACAAACTCACCTCATTTACACCCTTTCAAGACATCGAACTTACCTTAGGGCAAGAACTATGTAGAACGGTCAACGACAAAGTTGTGGTAGATGAGCCAATGGACTGACGATGGTAAGATGAAACAATATTTTAACCCTGTAAGAACGCGGAGGAATCGACGATCAGACACTAGGTCGTGGTTCTTGTACTGAAGGATGGATATTTATTCCATCCTCCCTCCAAATTTCACTAGGGCTGCCCTTCTTCTTGACACAGTTGCTTCCACCCAATCAACGTGAAGCAGTTTCCAAAGCATAATACATTGCTTTTTCGACATCAAATGTATGCGCCACCCCCCTCTACTAGTTGGTAGCTTTGCTCCGGTAAGGTGGCCAACTCTGGGCTACAAACACTCATGCATCATTGGTAAGTGTTGAAACTTGACGAGGATGAAATCTTGCAACTAAATGTGTCAAATGGTCATGCACTCAGGTGGGGAAACCTGAATGTCACATGACTTGAATACCGTTTCAAGGTATGGTGTACCACCCGCAGTCAACAAACCTAACGACGGGCAGAGCAATTTTCTAGATAAGCTATCAAACTCAGCATTACCATATATACGTGCCTTGAACGGCCTATCATAACGAGCTCGTGTGGCGAGAGCGGTGCCTTTATCGTTGTCAATTGGATCTAGCGTAGCCAAACACATTAATCTTTGTGATTTTCAAATATCTACAGATGTGTGAGGGGTCCTAAGATTTTCAGCAAACTGAAATTGCATGAAGTCGACTGAATCCAAACGCCTTAGGAGCAGTGTTTTGAGTAAACTATATGAATGCTATGTTGCAAAAAGCTTTCGCGGTCGATCAGTCTCATAAACTCGCCAATATGCAGACAAAAAAATATTTGGGCATAAATATCAAGTTAGAGAGTAAAATGGTGTAAATATATTTAAATAGATACAGCAAAACTTTGAGAACACCTTGAAAACAGACAAATTCCACCGCTAATGAAGTAGTTAATAATAAAGCATTTTGCCAGCACTTACACGCAGTCACATGACCAAGCTAGAGGTGGATGCCTTAATATGTTATAAGTAAAGGATTCCATTTTTTGCGCTAACTGCAATTATGAAAAAAGAATAAGACTTGGAAATACCTTCTTTAACGAACATTCGAAGATGTGGCCAGAATAAAGTGTTTACGTATTTAATGCACAAAAAATGTCCTTGTATCCAAAAGCGCCTTTAATGGCAGCTAAATATCGTCAGGCGTCCTGGCTTTCCTCCGTGGGTTATCGTAGGGGAACTCCAGATCACCATTAAAGTGCATTCTAACAGGCGGCAACCGCGGATCTGTGTTTATACTAGCACCGAAGTAGTGTTTGTTGAAGTAATACTCATCCCGCGGTTTATTGTCGTAGAAGGGAAGACGGATGTCGGGATTTCGAAGGAGGCAAGTCACAGTGTACAAGGTCAGTGAAACCAGACCGCTTCCCACAACAAAAATGAGGTAGGAAACGGCGAAATTCTTCTTCATCCACGCTAATACAGCTCCATTACGTCGTGGAATTACAGCTACTTTATTGGATAGAGGATCCAGCACGCGAGGACGTGAAAAAATCATGGCAGCTACAACCCCCACGAAATGAAGTCAAAGACCATGTGCACGCGCACGTATAAAACAGATGTGGCTGAAGTGACCAATGGCGTTTAAGAGCCTCAGTCATTCGTCTGCGTAGCACGGTCGATAGGGTGTGCGCATTTAAGCGCATGTACGTATTTGGGTGCGTGCAGACTCTAACTCAGGTTGTTTGCTGCTTCTGGGGTTTTGATGGCCTTCTCCCAGGGCCATGTATTGCTCTAGGCGCCGAATTCCAAATGTCTAGCAGGTGTGAATCGATGTTTATTTTTTGGTACACCTTTATTAAATATATGAGATTGGGGAGTTGAGATGTTGCATATTAGGAAACTTCGGTTGCGTTCTGTACAACTGACGACCTGTTTTATCTCCATATGTATAAGGGTGCTTATACGTCCAAAGCGTTCAGATCTCGGAATTACCATATTATCTTCGGGAACTGTAACAGTGGGGTAGGTGATGCTTCATCGTGCTGGGTCATTTCACGTGGCTGGCTCCTGTCAAATTGGTTGCTTCTGCATTTGTCAGCCTCCTGGGATGAGTATGAGTGGAAAAGTTGTCATTACTCTGGACCAAAAAAGGAAAAAAAGCAGATTTGATCGCTTCTGTCTACATACTTATGCGGATATGGCTACCTTGGCTCCAGTAGTTTTCTGTCTTCGGAGTTGTGATGGCTTTCTTCCAGGTCTTTGGAATGTTCTAGGCGCGGGGTTTGAAATGATCAACACTTATGAATTGTTGTTTGTGTTAGTTCTTGAAAGTATAAGATGGAGGCCTTTTGATGGCACAAGTTACTGCGACACCTTAGCAAATCTCTATTGTGATTAGTAGCCTTCAGGTTAGGGGCTGATATAACGCAGCGGTCTGAAGTAGAACAAATGAATCTTTCTGTCCCCGAGTGGGTAAGAGTATTAATGTGTCCCCAGCGTTCAAGTCTCGGAGTTACCATATGCGCCTTGGGAACTGTGATGGCGTTTCACGTGTGTGGTTCTTGTCTCAGTTTATTCGCCTCTGCAGCTGTCAGCCTCCTGGGTTGATGACTGGCAAAATTGCCAGCACTTAACCAAGGAAGGACCAAAAAGGATTTTATCCCTTCTGTTTCAACAAACGCACCATTAGCACAGTGGGAGACAGGCTATAACTAACTGAGAATGGAGGTCACGGTCCCGTCTTACCTCCGGTACGTTCCAAAACTCCATGGGTGTGTATTTGTCACTTTCTACCCACAAAGGTCACCGATTTCCTACAGACCTGGTCTACTAGGGTCAGCGAATTTCACATGGCGCTCGTGACCCTACTTATGTGTGTATCAGTAAGGACTACAAAACCACAACAGCAAATGCCTTTGTATCCATGCCCGAGGTTACTAGCAGTGGAAGGATAATCAGATTCGCTTTTGGATATCTGGCAATGATTTCGAAGCTCTAGGCGTAAATGAATTATTCCTAATCTTGAATAAACAACCAAATTCCATCCATCCACAAAAGTTGAGCACATTCCCATCATCAAAATAAGATCGGTAAATAACCCTTCTGGTGAAGAAAAAATTATGATTGAGCTTCACCACCTGACCCTATCAGGAACTCTATCCGAGTGTCAAGCATTCTCCTGAATCTGGTGGCGATTCATTGGTGTCACACTGGGAATCTAGTAACCTTACCTGTTCCAATTTAAACCATTCTTACAAAACAAGGCGATTAATGACGCATTGCCAACTCCACCCATACGTAAGTAGAGAGAGGCTCATAGGTAAATCATCGGTATTATTCGAATCCCTAAGGGGCTAACGTGTGATGGCTTTATCAGGTGAGAAAACAACGTCCTCTGCAGCAATAATCAGGTCAAGGCACAAGTACCGTCGCATAGAGCAAATCCTCAGACAATCTCCCGTTTCCGTCCTTCAGATGACACAGTTGCAATGTTAGCGCCTCATTCTGTTCTTGATAGAGTGTCTCTTTATATTCATACCCAAAGCACCCTTCTCCAAATTGGGTATTGGTTCAACCGATATGCTCTTGTTAAATAAGCCAAATATACTAAAGTTTAGTCTGTGAAGAAAAACCCACACACTAGCTGGTCAGCGTCACCGGTGTTATCTGGAGGCTGACTAACAGGTACCATCTCCACTAACCTTGAACTCTTTGACTACATGATCCAAAACCGGCAACACCCAACCATTGCATCCAACGAAAAATAGGCAACTGCATCAGTTAGATTTAGGCCTAAGAAAAGGGAATTACAGGCATCAATTTGCAAACAATCAAGCACAATTAGTACTGTCTTCTTTCTTCAAACATCACGCATTCATCAGAAAAAGGTACGGAAGTATAATGATTACTAGAAAATAGGCAAGGGGGTCTTTCCCCTCCTGCTCACACCACAGGATCTTCGACGTTGTTACTATTGTTGTTGCTGTTACTACTGGCCACATTGTCACCGTTGCCCTCGGACATTTCGTTGCTAGGGTCAGTGAGGTAAATTGAAGAACGCTGGGACTTGATTGCCTGCTGATTCACACTCAGCATGCGTTGAATGCCATCCTTCACGACCTGGTAGTTGTATTCGATAATGCCTGGGAGGAAATGTGGTGGAGGCAGCGTTTGGTTAGAAGGTGGGTGACATACACGTTTGAGGTGACACAATACACAACACTGTTTTGAAAATCAAACACTCCACTTTAAGTAAATAATTTGCACTTTGCACTTGAAGTTCAATTTTGGTAAAGCAGTTATTGATAAGCAAAGCTCAATGACATGGTGCCTTCTTCCTCGGAAGTAAACTAACTGCGGATACTAACAACGCGCGTGAATAAAACTGGCAGTTAATCACTCCATATCCTTAGGCCTTGCTCTCCTCCAACCTCTTCAAGACGGACGCGAGGCCTCTCAATAGCGCAGTGAAATAAGCCCTTTCTCTTTGAGGTAAAGAAAAAACCCATAATAACCGATCCAAAGATAGGTAGGGTTAAACTGACAATAATAGAACACCATAACCACTGGGGGCAAAATTGTAACCCTTCTAATGGGGGTAGATGCTTAACTGTCTCAGTGATTTCATGAATAACTTCCCCACACATCTGATGTTGCGTGTGTGTGTGTGGGAGTCAACAGGGCACAACCAGAATATGGTTTGATCCTCTAATCTCGCAGTTTATCGACGCAATCCAATTCTTAGTTTGAACAACCACACCTTTTCACCCAAGTCAAACACAACTGAGAGAAAAGCATGCCAACATTGTGACCTTAGCCTCAAGTCACAGTCTCAGACGGGAGCACTTCGCTCTCCGCAGGTTTTGGTTACCATCCATTTGTGTCATTCATGTTGAAAATCCACAAGCCCTTGTCCACGCTTCCAACAAAGTTCCATCTAAACTAATACATCTTACTGATATTTAACAGCCCTCACAAATAACCTTTGAACCGGATGCAGATGGCAAGGAGGTAATGACGTCTCTAACATTCTAGCCTAAGAAGAGCGATTTTGAGAGTGTACCCTCTTCACAAAGTCTTCAAGATACAGGAATTATTATCCTTCGTCAGGCAAGATTTTTCTGTGCAGCAGTCTATGTTCAGAACCAGAAAACGGTTGACAAAAGGTCTGACTGCGAGACCTCATGTGGTCTCCGCCTGATCTATTCATAGATGCACGCGACTTCCAGCTCGGCTGAGTTTAACCTCCACCTGGAGTCGTCAAAGGAACCATTAACAAGTATGATTATAGTACCAAGTGCTAGGCTGTTAACCAAAAAGCATATGGTCGTATTGTCAGCCATAACGAGACTGATCACAGTTTTGTGAAATAGTCTTTCGCCATCTATGCCTAGGTTTTTACAACCAGTCCTATATCAATGCAGTTTCCCCCAGAATCAGATCGTTTATGTACTGTGAAATTGTTACCACGCAAAAGCACTATCATGAAGCACAGGACTTAGTTAGCCTATCTAGTCTACTTTTGTCAGCCCCCAAAATCCCACAAAAATGGCAGCCGAACAGAACCAACAAGACCGTCTCAGTATTTAAGTACCAACTCTTGAAAATAATGAAACTTTTACCCACCTATTTTTTCCAGAGACTCCTCCCTCAGAATGCACACCAACGCCATGTACCGATTGATCCCGCGAAGGTAGATGACAGTCGCATTATTCAACACAATGGTCGAAGAAGTCTGCTCCGAGAAGGGTGGATCACTGAGTTCCGAGGAGGGACTGTAGCACAGGAAAGGGCAGATATATTCCCCTGCCTCTGCTGCAATGACTACGTGGATAACATGAAGAGTGAAACAGATATAACTATACAAAGCGTAGCCACTGAGTAACGTGATTTAAAATGCGGACAGAGAACTCCAGACAATGGCTAAACTCACTCACTGCAATTTCTGAAATGCAGCAATAAGTAGCGCAGTTGAGACAGGCATGATTCGACTCACACGCACCAGTACCCACAGTGATTAAGTGATATAATTAGCATGGTTGAAAATGTGGACTCACTTACGTGTAGATGGAGGAAATGTTGGTCACAACGTCTATCATATCGCAGCACAGTTCGTACGTCTGAATGTCCACCAGCGTAGAGTCCGTCGCGAGGTAGATTTTGGTGGCTACGTCGAACAGGAACGCCTTGTCCAGCATGGAGCTCTAAGGAAGAGAAAAAAGAGGTTCCCCCAACACCATCGCGTGAGCATCAATTTATGACTAATCGACACTTACCGATATGAAAATGTTCAGGAGGTCCTCAAATGCATCCAAATAGGGAATGAGTTTCTGAACCACCTTGCTGAACGCCTCGAAGACGGAATGATCGTAGATGGTGGTTAGGTGGAATCTAAACAAACGAACATTCCATGGAAGTTGCTACCTTCTTCTACTACACTCATCAGCAGGTGAGACCTTTCCCAAATCCACTGAAGAAAATTCAGTGAGTGTTAGCCATAACCAGTCATTTTTTTCAAATATAACAAACTGTCAAAGTTGACAAACCTTTTGACCACAGGCAGATTGAATCTGCAAGATGCATTACACTTCCCTTCACTTCCCGTACCACATCGGTGACATGGCCTTCCAGCTATGCCTACAGCCAAAATGGATGCTGCATCTCGCCTCTGTAGAGCTATATTAAACCATACCTCGTTAAATGGCTCTGCCTTTAGGAAACCGTTTCTACACGTTCGCGATCGACACATAAAAATAAATTACAGTTGGCCCTTCCAGAATTGAGAGATATAAAGTCAGTAAATCCTGGAAGAAAACTGGATCGTAGATCCACTGAAGTAGACTATTTGCATCATTGACAAGGGGATAGTACGCCTTCTCAGCGTATGACCTGCATTCCTAGCTTGTGGATGGTATTTCAAGCACCTACTACTTCGCAGACACCGACGCAGAAGAGTCGTGAAAGGGAAGACTGCACAACGTAAAGACGTTTGTTTTAATTAAACATCTAGCTACGGGGGGTTTTTGAACACCGCAATTTGTACCTCCGTCATAGCGACATGAACCATTGGGTATGATCACAAAACCACCGAATCTACGGCTAGAGCTAGCACGCTTGCTGTTTGGACGTGTCCTCCCTCAAGGCAACAAATTAGGTAGCATTAGGGGGATACCGACAGCCCTAGACTCACAGCCGCCCCTGGAATTGGTCAGCCTTTTTTACATGTAAGCTCTGTTTCCAGCATGGGATGGGGGAGACTTCAAATAAGCCGTGTCTCAGCCAGGAGTTTTTTACTTCTTCTGTTCGGGCTTTGCAAAAAGCAAGGTTTAACCTATCCAGTACATCTCAACAGCCTCCTAACCTTCCCACTCATTGATAACGAAATACCCTCTAAGTGAGAGGCTATGGACGAAAAAAACAGATTTAGAGAACAGCAATGAATTTGATTAACTCCAAGCTGTTATCAACTCGCTTTGACAGCTCCAAAATCTTATAAAAGAAACTATTAGTCACTCACAAATGGTTAACAGGATGATGTTAATGCTGTCACTAATGTAGTTGACTGTAGCAGTTTTTAAAATGATGGCGGTAAAACTGTACAACGGGCAACAAACTTTGGAAACCTGTACATCAAATTAGGTGGTGTTGACGGCGAAAATTGTACCTAGCAGGACATTTAGCATTTGGTAAAAATCATCAAAACTTTAACTATTGAAAAGTGAATGCCTACCCGATCGTAACGTTAGATGAATTGCAATTGACCGGATTGTGCGAAGCGACGATGTCATCGATGATGTTATTGACGCGCTGCGCGATATCCCGCTGAATTTCAATTTTTTGGTCGTCCAAAAGACAATCCACCTTGTGGATGAAAACCTCATACTTGATTTTTGGGTTCTTCTTATAGGCGTATTCAACTGTTGAGGTCAGGCGATGCAACGCCGACATGTAGTCATCCTATAATTGAGATACCAAGTTACTTTGCACTTAAAACCTTAGGTAAATCGTAACATGCATGTACCTGTGCATCTATTACGAAAACGATGGCGCCAGAATCAGAGAAAAGAGTGTCGGAGAGGAAATTTGAGTCACAGAAATCAATATGACCCGGAAAGTCCCAAATTTGAAATTTGATGAAGGAACAATCGGAAATGTCTGCAAAAAGTCAAGACGATAAATGAATGCGTAGGGACGCAAGAGATGTCAATAACAAAAGTGCGCTGCCTACCATTCTTCTCAATCTTATTGGTACTTTCCAAATAAAGGGTTTCTGCCGGGGCGAGCTTGTGAAAGACTACTTTCTGAATAGAGGATTTTCCGCTTCTAACATTTTTATCTGTGATAAAGCACAAGAAACTGTTACCCCTTCAAGCCCATTAGAAAGATCTTTGGCTTTTGATCAAATGTGTCAGATTGATCCATTGTCCTTCTAAAGTTGCAAAAGAAGGCGGTAGAGAACCTTGATGGAGAACTCACAAGACGAATGAGGTACAAAAAGACACGACATAGCCGAATAAAATATCCGCAATCTTTGAGATTACCTAACTTTACAATCCCTTAGACAGGTTCTAATCTGCCCACAGTCAAGATAAGGGACTTAGGAGATACCATACAGCTTATGTGTAAAGGAGCCTAATATTTGTAAGTCACATGTTATGCAATATCCATTTAGAAAAATGAACCTGCTACCGTGCGAATTTTACTGCACACCATGTACGCGCATCTGCCAGGTGATTTGATAGAAGCGTACATTTAAGAAACGCGGCTGAAATATCGTCCCGGAATGAATGCAGTGAACATTTAGCTAGTGTCTGCGTGTGCTCCTTGCATCAAATACAAATAACTTAATTCATTTTGTTATGGTTGGATTACAGATCTAAAAGATGTGCAATGCATTTTTAAAGCGCGGGTTAACTCCTATAAGAGATTGACTTAATAAAGAACTTATTGGGTATAAGTTAAGTATATTTACGTACAACTAATCATGCACTTAGGATAGCTAAAGCGTACGTATCGTGACGTTTTGTTTCTGTTTACTGTGACTAAACTGCGTTTTTAACGCCGTTGGTGACAAAATAAGAACAGTAAATAAAAGTGGCCAAATTTTCACGCCCATTTTTGCTTTGTTTGACATCATCCAAAAATCATGCCTTCAGTCAGATTAGAGCTACCAAATCTTATCAGAATTCATGGACCTGATTGCTATAAAACCTAGTTGAATTATTAGGATAACAACAAATGTTCACAGTAGACTTTTCGCATCATCTGTAATGAGACTCTCGATCTACTACGCAACTTTGTTTACCTCACTCGAACTCGATCCCAACCGAAGCCTCTGTGGCTGAATATACAACATGCTAATGTAGAGTCCCGAGGCTTCCCTGAAGACGAAAGAAAATGCAATACCCGGGCAGAATATAAATCCAGCACAGAGAAGGTGTTTGGGCTACTGGCATGACCCAAAGGCCAGCCCATCCAGCGTGGTACAAGAAGGCTAAATCAAAAATCCAAAAGTGGCGCCTCACCAATATCGAGGGATAAACCACCATTGTATTACACTAAACTAGTAGACTTACAGACCAATAAAGAACTCAGCACATACTAGCGGCTCCGCGCTTGTGCAAAAGAATCAGCCTATCTTTGAATAAAGCTTTTAACGAACGTCCTAATGCCTTCAGACTTGATGTTGGTTGCTCCACCAGACACAATGGAATCAATTGCCACTGACTTAAATATAAGATCCGCCATCACCCGAAAAGGCTAGTCTACGAACCCTTTTCATCATGGGAACGAAATGTCTCCCTGACTGAAATAGGAAGGTTAATATGTAGTCTCTTTAACCGTTCCGCATCCAATGACTTTTAATTAGTAAAAAAGCAGATTTTTGCTTGGTTCCATCCAATTCTTATTTCTGTTCAGATCATGGAGCCAAAGAAGCTTCACACTCATCCCTTGCCTCCCAACACGACCAACCTAGGCGCAGTGGAAGACGATAGTGCAAACTGAGGCATTCCTAAACTGACTAAAGAATTAACGATTTTAACTGAAACCTCTTATTTTTTGCAGCATCAGTACGTCGCCACCACCTCTGTCAACTTACCACTGCTCACTTCTCTTTCCTGCAGTCCAGAATATCCCCCTGCAAGTGACTTCTCCGCCTATTTTACTCAGGAATCCGAGGACAGGTTCATTCTACTGCCCTTAGGTCCATTGTTTGATTAATTAGCAGTAAAGACAAGCAATAAACACTAATTAGCCTTCCTTCCGTACTTGGTAGGATCATGTGGAGGTTTATGTTATTTGCCTTGACGAATATTGTACTATCGGCACGTAAGCATTATTGTTCCCATCCCATCACATAGACCAGTCCTCCTCACATCCAGCTCCCCCCCCCCCCCCTTAATCTTCCACACTGGGACCTCCCAACGTTTTTCCTTGTCAATGAATATTTTTCATTCGTAGTATCCATAATAATACGTAAAGTTAGAGTTCTTGTTTCCTCTCTTTATCAACCGCAAAACGTTAATTTAAAATCAAATTAGTTGAGAAAACATGAAGCTGAATCAACTGCTTCAAAATGCGAGAATTTGTATTTACTATCACTTTTAACACATTATGGAGTAATTTCAAAGATTTATGTCAGAGCGGGGACCAATCTTATCTCCGCTATGGCCGGTCTTGCAACTGGCTTGTCTCAGCCGTTGAAGTCACCTGCTTCTCCATCCACTCGGCTGTCTCATCGAGTACCATCTCAAATGTCTCCTGTACCATTCGCTCCACGACCACCTTGTGTGCTGTAGCGACCACAAACACGCATTGGACAAGGAAGTCTACCATCTCGTCTATTACCCATAATGCAACGCGTAGCTCGATGATGGGATAGCAGAGCTTGATTAGCGCCTGTGTCATCAGTTCCCTACCCAACTCACGCCATTCGGTGTGTCGCTGGGCAACAGCCTTTGTGTAAGAGAAGCAAATCCAACCACTTTTAGTGGGGCTGCATAGCAATTCGACTGGGAAGTAATTGGTGACAGATATCACATTCTTAACTCAAGTACTCCCTGGGTCTTTTATAGGCCTGGGCCATGGAAAATAAACTTGGATCGGTGCACAAGGCACTACTATTGTTAAAAAGGCGAATTGAGTTGACAAAGAAGGCTTAATTGAAGATCAGGCAAGTTTTTTTCATAGAAGACACTACTACTTCATTTATTAGTCTCAAAGACTACTCTCTTATCAATGATTATAAGACTTTAATCTGTGGAGTCGAATTAAGTCCATCTTTAAGCTGTTCAATGTTCTACTGATTACCAAAAACTGGTACGATAAAATGGGTGCTTAAATGGGTGAGATCGCTTCATATGCATTCCAGAGAAATGTGGTTGGACTACTTACCTCTCGTATGACACCATCCACGAGAATGCGAGCGCGTCTTTCAAGCTGATTGAGCCACAAAACGCGCTCCACCATTGGACTCAGGAACTCCACCTCGACTTCTGAAAAAGGGCGACCACAACATTTGCTTCAGCTAGGATCGCTTCTCTCCCGACGTAAATTATGTTAGGCCTGACACAGGTTGCAAGGTGTACAAAAGGAATGAGAGGCAATTACCATACTCTACATTGTCGTAGAAGTAGCTGCGTTGCGTGAGCTGCTCGAAAACATTGGGAAGGAGTGGTTCCAGGTAGGCCTTGGTGAAACACCGGGCCGCAATTTTGTCTGCAGTCCGTTTTCGCATCCAAGCCGCCTGTATGCCCTGAGCTTTGCGTCTCTTCTGTTCCTCTCTGTAGGGGCAGAAAAAAGTTTATAAAATACTTTACTAATCCGTGGGTAGTGAGCTACGCTCCCAAAGATGACAGAATTAAGTCACCTGTATCGCCTATTGCGCCCCTCCAGTCGCTCAACTTCTGCAAGATCGGCGTCGCGGATCTCCATCTGGATGTACTGCCGTCTTCGAAGCTCTTGGAGCTCCTCCTCCTCGGCCATTTCGAGCAGCGCCTGCTCTACCGTCTTGCCAACCAACACTTCCAACACTGGTGTCACTTCCAAATTGAAGTCAAAGAGCTAGAAGCGTGGGTGAGCACACATGGATGTTTATTGCCGTCCATGAAGTTAACAAAATAAGATGAGCCAACTTTGCAATTGGTCGTCCGTGACTATTCGTTTCCTACGGCGTTCCGTGCAATTGAGGAGGCAAATTAAGTAACCCTTACTAATGTCGGGATACTAGGAATTTCCCAAAGATTTGTATCGACCAAATAAATTTAAAATAATGTATTTCAAATTAAGCAGAAGGCCAGAAATCACAAGCGCCACCTTACCTCCCACGGTTCAACCTGGGTTGCAACGTCTGCTCCCGTCTTGGCAGGCACGAAAGCTGGTTTAGGGGGTCGAGCCATAAACTCGTCGGTCTGACTCCAAAAGTCGTCGCGCTCCACCGGCTGATCAATCTCCTCTAAATGTTTTTTTAAGTCGACAGCCTTCGTTGACCTACCGTATAACATGCCTACAAAGCGGAGCAGGACGAAATGAGACGGCTATTTAAAACACGCATTGTGAGAAGGGGACAGGTGAATAGCTAGTGGACGTCAATAATCAGAGGTGAAAAAGGATTGAGGTGTACAAAAGTAAGCCCATTTCAAATACATACCCAGCTTATTTCAAATGCTAACAGAAAAACGCTATGGAATACGTGCGAAATAGGGTACTCACTACTGGGTCCAATGAAGCTTGCCAGGGTGTCTCCAGTCCGGTACTCCTTAGGGGCGAATTTGCGTGCATTGATGGCTCGTTTAGCCTTGTGGTTGACGCGGATGCCAGCACAGTCGGACAGCTTAGGTGGTGGGGGCGTGAGCTTCGGATGGGTGCCCGGATTGGCATTAAGTAAGGTTATTGTTTTCTGCCTGTGAGGAGGAAGAAAGCCCTTCGATGGCTGATTAGGTGAGATTACAGAGTCTGCTCTGAAAAATCCAGCCTGATCGGATGAAGACAGTGAGGTGGATTTGTGGCTTAACATGAGGCAATTTTAAGTCAGAAATATTATTACGGGGATCACTTAACATGGAATTCTGCCTATGTTACCCGTGATTTGGGTCCCGATTGAAGCTGCCTCTTGACAAACATCTTATGGTGTGTTTTAAAGAAAGGACAATACTACTGAATAGGTCAAAGAGGAGGACCTGCTGCAAATAAATGGATCCGTGATGACGTGTATTGGGAAATCTACCAAGACATTTCAATCCCAGAATTGAACAAAGCAGAATAGTAAATAAAATATTTGCTTAAATAGTTGACATTTGCAAAATGGGTTGTCAGAATGATTTTCCTTATTGCAGATCTAAGGAAAACTCCTACAGGTCGCTTAGCAACGTCGTTGGCAAAAGAGTGGGGGTTAAATGAAAATAGATCATAATTGCTGTCTTTCAAGTAATTCTATACCTTTATAAATCGTTCCACGAAATAAGGTAAGTATATGGAGAGTTATCCGGTCCAAATAAGTCGCTTGCAAATGAACCAACGACCTTAAATTCTACAGAAAGGCGTAAAATCTGGGATATGCACAACTAGTGGTGGATTCCGAGGTCTTGCAGCGGTTAGAATTCATTCTTGGATCTACCACCCTGCATCGTGGTTCACCAAAGCAGAAGTGATCGCAGAGAGGCCTCACAGTACGACGATATTTGTTCTACTTCTAAATCAACTTCTACACCGGTGGTATAAGGCTCTGCTCATGCACGTATACTACCAGTCTCCAAACTACTATGCATATTATCGCGGTGCAATGGCGTAGGCTCATGTTAGACCTGATCAACTAGTCAATACACAAAAATGATGCAAAAAGCTGAAACTACACGGGCCCAGAACAGATTAGGCTAATGAAAACTACACTGAGTCTTGAAGTTGGGCGGAACCAAGGAATTTGGGTCCATCCTAGTGTAACTAAAGAACGCCTCATGCAACATATGCCTGTTGGGATAGCGATCAAAAGGCGAAGTGGGCTGTGGTACAGGCCCATTTTTCAGGAAACGGGGTATGTCGCAAATAAACTGCCAGATAGGGGAACTAGAGAAGATTAAGTATTGAGAAGTAGTTCAAAACACTTGCCAGACGCCGCTACTGTAAACATGCCGCATTAAAGTTGACCTTTTATTTTGAAAGAAAAGAAAGAGAAGAGTATATTAAAAATATCTACGGGAGTTGACAAATTGTTTATGGATAATAAAACAATTTTGCTGACTGTGTCTCTTTATTAGCAAAAATAGTGCCTTTTCACCTGCAAGAAATCTACATCTGATATCTTACGGGTCATTTTTCAGTCGATCATATGCTGTTCTCACAATGGGCAGGCTAGCGAACACATAAGCTGCCTTATTGTTCTGCGGACACCGGTGCATAGCGCCCTTTCATAGGCTTCTGCCACTCTGTATGCGTGACCGCATCCCATCCGCCAATCACAGAGCGAGCCTCACAGATGGAAGAATCAATAAAACCCGACTTCGTGACCTTAACAGACTCGTAAGAGTGTCAGAAATCCAAACTCCGCGCAAACTTGTGTAAGTTTTGCTCTAAATTAAATGTATTTCATATTCAGATTTGAGCTAGAACTTGGCAAATCCGTTCGGAGCCCCTAACGTTGACATACTTTGCAAGGATTGTAACCGATAAGCCACAAATAGTAAGTTCGACCTGATCCACTAAAATGCAAATTTCAAACAATGAAAGATGGCATTCTGCCAATTTACATTTCATAGGAAAATAGCTCCCATGCCAAAAAATAGAGATAACTACAAACAATAAAAGAAAAAACCGAAAGCGCATTATAAGTGAACCATTCGATTCAAGGGGATATTGCAAAAAAACGACATTAATTCAAAAGAGATTTATATTTAATGGAATGATTTTGGCAACATTCTTGGTGAAAGCGGCCTGAATCCACGCCTCGAAATCCACACGTGGTAACACAAATTTTTCGCCGGCTAAAGGCTTCAGTTGCAAGAGTGTGAGAACTTTTGCCCTGCTAAAATCCTTTCCAAACTCCTTCCTAAGGTCCGAAGCTATAAAAGCGGTAAATCAGGAGATAGATGAGAAGCCAAACTTACATAAAGATGCGACACAGGCATTTACAAGGGAACGTAAGACATCATCAAGAGCGTGAATTGGATTAGCTTTGTTGATAGCACGAGACTTCTCCTTTTCAGCTTTCACTCTCGTCATATCTATGAATATTAGGGGCTGTTGTAAAACGGAGTCGATGAAGGCCTCAATGGTGCCGATTGGGTAATTACTTTCCGTTCCAATTAAGTCCAGGTTATGTCGTTCCCAAGGATAGTTTGAGGCGTCTGGCCATTCAAAACGCTCATTCATCCGATCAAGGACCGACGAAGGAATAGAAGGAGTTCTTTTGGCATTCCTTTCAATACACAAATTTAACGGAGTACGGAGACTAACTGTTAGATATGCACACCTGCCTTATCATAAAAAGTGAGAATTTCAGCAACCTACATGCCTTTGACAGTAAAAAGTACTGCTTTCTCATGCTCCGATAGTAAAAATTATCATCTAAAATGACAACCACGGGAAGATCCCCTGTTGTTTCTTTAGGGAGGCGAATATGAAGACCTTGAGTTTCGAAGGAACGATTTCCACTTCCAAACTCTGTTATAAACGTTTGGATGCTAGAATATATGGCATTTCTCTCACTCTTCCACTACAACACTTGTTACTTAACCAAAAACCCACATTAAAATCCTTCGACTGGCCAAAAACAATATTGTCATCAAACTCTATTAAAATGCAGGTAAATTTGGAGCTTTCATCCACAATTTTATTAGAAATGTAGGATTTGCCGGCAGCAGGTAAACCAATGAGCAAAATTAATGCTCTGACGCCATTAATGTCGTCACATGTACCATCGGGATACATTACCACCAAACCTAATACACCCCCAATGGCCTTGAGACCAAGGCATATGTTACCATGGTCACTGCATATGACTAATAGAGAGAAAAAGTGGATTTAGAAGATTTTACAAAGTGTTTCAGCCACGCATAGGTAAAACTAAGGCTTGCAAAATTTAGAGGCTATTATGGGAGGCGCGGACATAAGTGGAAAGCAACACAAGCATTTTGCAGCATATTATTATATTTGAACGGTATAATTTTGTTAAAATGTCAATAATTCAGGCCTGTTCTAATGGGACAGTGCGATTTTTAGCAGCTAATCAGAAAACAAGTTCTCTGTACCACCAAAAATTTTAGTTGGGTTATTTATGTACAACTTGTTCCTTTCTTTGCCGAATTCTCACGTTTTCTACATAATCACTAAAATATTCCATCTCTTAATTCTTACAATTAAACTTCACGTTTTTAAGACGAGTCATACATTAAAGTATGTGGCTTCTGCCTCTATTGAATAAATGAGCTGTAGCAGCCCGTGACTTCGCTGAAGACGGAAGAAGGCGTAATGTTGGGGGAAGAAGATGTATACTTGGCATATCGAAGACATTATGGTACTGTTGTGGCCCAAAGATCAGCCCACCCTGCAAAGTACAGTGACCGAAAAAGTGACTCTATTTAAACCGACCTTTAAGCGAACAAACAACGTGTTGCATAGCCCTCTCCTCTTTGGAGCGTCGCCTCCGGCGTTCCCCCTGGTCAACCTCCTCTGCCAACCACTATAGCGTTGTCAGTGCTGGAAGGAAACAAGCACTTGCCGGCCATGCCAGGTATCAAAGTTTTACACCACTGAGGAAATACTTGATCGCAACGTCGTTGATCCCTCTTGGCAACTCAACTGCATTTGGAGTTTCGTCCAGTTTGAGAAGTGAGTTCAGGAAAGGTGAATTGTGCTGGCTCTCATACGTCTCCATAGAGATGTAGAAACACTGACCTAAAAATAGATTTCTGTAAGGAAGGAAGGGCTTTAATACGTGTTCTTGGGGAAGGGTCTCGCGGATCTTCCTCCTTGCCATGCTGTTCTCATTTCGGATCTGCTTAGCCACACCTATCCGGGCTCTATCCAGCTAGTAGGAAAGTGGAGGAGGTACCATGAGTTCACTTTATTGACAACTTTATGCAGGTACGATAGGAAACTCTTGCAACGAAACTTTCATATAGTTTACAGCTAATGTAGCTTCAGTTGTTAATAGCTTTCCTACAAAACACCTGACTGCGGTAGTAGCCATAAGTAGACGTCAATTTCAGCCCTTCTGTTTCGGGTCATTACCGATTCTCCCATCCATAGTAAATGTACTTCTTCTGTCCCGCTAGGATTTATCACTCAGCAGTAGAAACCAGGAGAGATGTCCTTTAGGATTGAACTCGCTTTCCGTTGCCACCAATGTAGCGTCCCGATGCCTCCCTTAAGAAGAAATAATACATAATTCTCGGGCAGAGCATGCGTATCCAACTTACAAATGGTGTTAGGGCTACTGTTTAGCCTGCCCAGTGAGGTACAATTGACAAAACCAAGTGGCTCCTCACCAAAACCAACAGTAAACAAACAACCAACATATTACACAGCTCCTGGGTGCTTGAAAACCTTGGATGATTCTATCCTTTATAAGGATAGATGCTTACAATCACCCAACCACCTCTCAACTGTTGTTACGTGTCCAACGCCCTTCTTCGTCTACATTAAATCGGCTCTTTCTTAAACATTATAAAACAGGCATGAGTTTATGGGTACGATATAATCTGCCTTCCTTTCACTCAGTAGACACATTTTGACGCGCCCCACATTCAACACGAGCCCTATAGCCACCTCTACTAACAAGGTCATTAAGTTGCAAACCATGCTGTAAAATCAGAGATCTTCAGAGGACTCCGAACCTCAACGAAGATCGGACGAACAAAACAGCACCGCCACCCTACCTGTACAACGAAACCGACCCACGACCAAGCCCAAGGCTTTGCGACCTAACCATAACCGCGAATATGACCTCACTTCCCACTAGAAATGATTTAATCTTCGCACAGGCGACGCTCCCACCCCCGTTGAACATACCGAGAATTAGAGGACTACGAAGAGCCACGACCTACTCAAGGGACGAATCAGGCCGCCCTCACCCGCATCAACCATCGGAGCACCGCATGTGGGTAACAAACAAACAGCAAACCTTTTCCATCCCACCATCCCAGATTTTCTTAAAAAGCAAAAGCAAAACTTAATAAAACAATAAGAAGACGCCTACTTAATCACTAAAACCGCAATAGCACAAAAAGTTAAAATAATGCGCACCCATGCGCACAACATAACCATGTAAAAGGAGGACTACAAAAAGAAGGGAATCGGCTCAGTAGTGTACATGGGAATCTTGGAGTCTCGGCCAGGCGGCAGCTAGGTGCGTCTGTTCACCTTCCCAGTCGCCTCCTTCAGCGGCCGCCGCGAATTTGACGCTCCCACCGCCACAGGATTGACCTGCAGGGTAAAATGACAAGATGGCTGCCAACACCAAATGCGTTATTGCTCATCGACAGCCCCAAAATTTCCAAACCGCTTACCCAGTCCTTGCCGGCTTTGGAGGTAGAGGGGTCGGCTGCCGATGTCGAGGAAACTTTGGCTACAGAGGGCGCCTTCTCCTCAGTGCTCTTCGAGGTAGTACCATTCGAACGCTTGACGCCCTCCTCAGAGGCCGTCTTCCGCTGAATCAGAGCTGGAGCCGTTCTCCGTTTTTGCCGAGGGCTTAGCTCCACTTCGAAGGCCAGAGGTGGCTGGTGAAACGCATTCACTAACTAGTAAGCACTCGAATGACAATCTCAACAGAGAAGTAAGTCGACTCCAAACGCTCACCTTCTTAACGGCAGTACAAGATGGACTGGTGTTTCGTGCAGATGCGGTCTAAATTTAGGAAAAACAGAAAACACGATATTTTCCTAATTCACATCAGTAGTGTATTTATTCAATAGAGCAAAGGTCGGCACAGAAACAGCACGCAACAAGGATAGATTTTCAGTCCAAAACGCCACACAGAGCGAATAGGAGAGCAAATCTTGCCAATAAAAAAGCATCTTACAATCATTAACTGGTCCTCTGTGCAGCGATTGGATGGAATGTCCTGAAAATGTACCATACAATAATGCTTAAAAGGCGTGGACTAAACACTACCACCGTTTAAATATCACTTTTAGGGCAAAATTGACTGCAATAGATACCATTTCCGGTTGCATCTCGCTCTCCTCTTCGCGCCGTGAAATAGGAAGCTATGTTGGGTCAAAGAAGCCGTCATTTTCTGGTACAAAAAACTGGCTGTGAATGGCCAAAATTCCAGACTTCAAGTGGAAATGCATAACTTAGAAAGAGGTTTATCGAACTAGGAATAACTTTTAGTGATACCAAAAGGCACTTCTTCCAGCATAATAACGACAGTTCCTAAACAAGGGAAAATAAAATCCTAATCTAACTAATGAAGAGAAAGAAATGAAAAAAAGGAGAAAAACTACGATCATGGTTAATACCAATGCCAAGGAGCAAAGATACCACGAAAGGATTTAACGTCGTCGAAATTTTCCTAACTGGAACTTTTAGCCATCTTGAAGAGAGAAAAAACCCGCATTTAACAAATTTCGTTAGGGCAACAGTTTCAAGGTGCAAAATGAGGAGTAACAATCAACTTCCCCTAGACCGGCCAAATAAACTTCCAAAGGTGTTAAAAGTTTCAAAATTAAAACTCGTGTCAAGTGCATGAGTCGTTAATACCTCTACCAGATAAGCTGCATAATCTGAATGAAATGTAGCTTTGAAGAAAAGCCAACCTCAACGAGCAATAACACACTGAACAAGTTGGAATCGGAAATTCCATGTCAGAGGTAAAGACCACAAACCCCAGTAGTACTCTGTCCACCGCGGGGTACGAGCAAGGACTCAGTGGGTCGAGCCCGAGTGGAGGAGAGGTCAAGATGCTCCGCGCCCACAATACCCGAGGCACCAGTCAAAAGCACTTCGGATATTGACTGGAGGCCTTTGGGACGCAGCGAGCGACCGGCCGGCATCGGCGAAGCATCCCTTCTACTCTCCACCCCCGACCCTGACACCGCAGATGTAGCTGCCTCTGAATGCTGTTGTTGTTGCTGCTGCTCCAGACCGCTCTTGTGAACCGTCTGCAGCATCGAGTAGAGCTCATTTGGACTCCGTAGCTGAGCATAATAGAAAAAAGGGATCAGCCCACGCCATTTAAAAGATTCTGTTAAAGCCTTATTTAAGAAGGCTAAGTGATTCCCGTTGATGATTGAGCAAAACATCAAATGGGCACTTAAGTTTACAGACAAAAAGAGAATGTCGTCGTGGTGATGGCATGCACAGAAACAGGCAATGCTGCCTACCAGCAGTAGCGAGAACCCCCCGGGTCATGGACCCATGATCAATAGGCGACAGATTTTTCTATAGAAAATGGTGGGCACAATCATTCAAAGGGATCTACCATTTCAAAAAGTTAGTACATGGTAGGCACCAAGACGCCCAGATCTTCCTAGAATGGTTCAACCGATACTGAAAAAGCTTTCTACGCCCAAGTAAGGAAACGAATGACAACCCAAAGCAGTCACAACTCCTCAAAAGCTGTGTTCCTGTCTTTCATGAGGTCAAAACTCCCAAATTGTCTCAAACACACCTCTCAATGCCTTAGCGCCTTCAGAGTTCATAGTACCCGTATCGCTGCGGAAAGCAAAACTTCAGCATGTACGGTTTCATATTACGCGATCAAAGGTACTTCAGGTAATCCTCATTTAATGGTAGCCTACATCAGAATCTATGTGGAACCATACACAGCCTCCCAATATTGAATGCACAAAATTAAGATTTTCATCCTAGAAATAGTCTATGGCAGTAATTACTCGGGTTAGAAGAGCTACGACAATGGGTGTGAAAGATAGCATCATTAAAGCTAAACTGAGACCCTCTTAAGGAAGCAACCGATGCAATCTTTTAGCAGACAGTTCCCTGACTAAATCTTGAACTCCAAGGTCGGAACAAATGCATGTTAAGATGAAAAGAACTGAAAAGTTCGCTCGCTGTTAGAAGATGCCTTTTGACAACAAGCAGACGACAGAGAGCCCAGAGTGACTCAATTCAGGGCTACAGCAACCAGCTTCTGGCATTCAAAGAACACAAAGCCATCAAGATGGCAAACAGTAAACTCATCGGCATCACAAAAAGAGTTAGATTGACATCTTTAGCCTGCGTAAAACAACCAAAAGTGGCAAAAAAAGAACGAACTTGAGTCTCCACGGGATAGTTGGTGCGTAGATGGAAGGGCTGAAGGTCGTTGCGTCGTCGAAGCTCAGCCAAACGAGCGAAAAGATCCTCTGAAAAAAAGAGACGGGAGGAAGTGAAAGCAAGTTTGCAACAAATTAACCCACCTGACCGCTAGGTGTATGTACGTCATGTCATTGCCATTCCATAATTAGTCATTAAAAATCGCACGCTAACGCACCTCAGCATAATTTTAGAACTTGGGGAAATAAGACAGCATTCAGCGCGTTGTTTGGTTTTAAAAGTCATATCTTCCCTTCAGTGTAATCCCTACTCCAATGATTTTCCCGAAATGAAGGGCCAATATTGCTTAAATCGGCACAATTAGCCCGACAAGTCGTCTATTAACGATGCCAGATTCGCAAAACAATACCAATCGAGATGTCGCAAAACTTGGATTTCATCAGTTGCTCCGTCCTAACACGAAACTTTTTTCCTAAAGACGATCTATCATTGGTAAATGGCGTTGAAACAGTTGCCTTTGGTTTGCCACACAGAAATAGATACCTTTCTTTAATTTGACGCTCGAAGTTAAACCTCCGTGGTCCATCAACTGCAGTCAGTGAAAGAAGAACTGAACCACTTAAACTGCGTCTTCAAAAGCAAGGGCACAAAGACAGTACCTAAGGTATTAATTTACATTCATCACATTAACCTTTTATGACTTCGGGAGGGTGGAAACACCAAACACGAGTAGTTGTTTGTTTCACCCTGCGTGTTCACCACGATTCATGTTCAAATTACGTTGTGTGCTTGACTCGTCCACTTGCGCAGGCAAATTTTCACCCCATTAAACTTCAAAAACCGCATACACAATCACATGGTGAGTCCGGCATACACAGCGAAAAACTCCACACTGTCACCTATAAACCTTGCGGCCTATAACAATATCGAGCATGCATACTGATTCAAATGCAGATTAGGTGGACCACTGCCGCTATTCCGCTGAATGCCAGCAAAATGGACTCATTTTGAAAGGTGACGTGCAAAGATGAATACACCAAAGAGTTTTTTGAAAAACCTCAACACCTAAAGCCCTTGTTCAGATAATAAGGACAAGGATTCGGTAAACGCTATGCAAGAAGTCGCTGCTGATCTTGCAATTTATTTCAACAACACTCAGAACCAGTTCATGCGCCAATATCGGTTCGATTTGGTGAATAAACGACATAATAACAGTTACTGACGCGTTAACACGGAGTTCAAAATAAAAACGCCTCTGACAACCTTGGACAACAGCAGATCTCTCTAGAAGCTAGGTCGATGAAGCAAGTCTTCTAGTCCAAAGGTCTCCGTAATTTTTCTTCACATAAAAGAGCGACAGCGAGAATCCATGGGTAACTTACCGGGCCGTTCTGGGGTGGGGACGGTTTTGGCATTGTGTGTCCGAATATTCCCGCTGTGCGCAGCCGGATAGGTCTGCGTCACATTGCTTGCGGTGGAGGGCTCCATGGAATTATAGCGTGCTAGCGTGGTTAAAGGGATAAAAGAGCTAGAGACTTGAAGGGCGAAGTAGCAGAACAGCATTTGTCTCAGCTAAATAGGTAATGTCATGCGAGTCGTCTTTTCAGCACCCACGCCAGTGGCATTAAAGTGCCCATGCCGCTAGTCTCTTAGTCCGCCTTGGAGTCTACAAAAAAGGCTACTTCCAAATTTTATGCTTCGTTACTCCTCCAGAGATGGTTTAGGCATCGCAATGGCAGTAGTTCTGGCGATTTCACAAAACTCGATATCGCGGACTCGGTACTACACCAAAAGGTCATTGACCGTGAATTTTGTGCCCACGACAAAAGTGGTATCGAAATCTTTCCTACTTTCAGCAATTATCTTCATCTCGGGTTTCGTATGACAGCTACCAACCCAGCAAGACCAGAATTCAGTAAGTCAAAACAAACCATAGAAAAACTGTTTTGCAATATTTTCATGCTGAAACACCATAACTTCTCATCACGGCTTTCATTAAAACTTGGCAATCTCAAGCAGAGACCAACACCTGTATCAAAGCGAATGCGGCTGAAAAAAAGAGGACAGGGCAAGTTGCTATAAAAATTTGAAAATTGTTCTGCACCCGATGGACAATTGTGCCTAGCCAATTCCAGTCAGGATGTAAAAGCATACTGCTGGACTTCCACCCACGTTTTCAGGCTCTCAATTCTTCTTTTCCACAACAATCCTACGTCTAGGGCCGTATATCGTAAGGCCTTCAGGTGTAACTCAGGGATTATGTGTCCGTGGACTAAGAGGAGTCTTAACTTTGGCGCAGCTAAGAAAAGCTACACAAGAGCTACTAGTGCCATGAATTCGCCTGTCAACAGGTTCATTTTTTCTGGTAAAACATTCTGACACAAGTATGAAACAAAAAACAACCTCTCCTTGTTAACAGCCTAACGTCCCAATCCGTTAATACATACAATAGCGAAATAGGAATGATTAATCGCAGACATTCTGTCCATCTCAAGAGGTCTTGTAAAATTAAACTGACACAGCATCGTGACAGGGCTGTTGAGACCCAGGTTGGATGGAATCTACAAAGTTATTCCGCTTTACCTCAAATACTTCACACAGGATCCTTCTAAAGTGGCAATGTGCCCCGGAAACAAACATCCGCACAGGATCATAATTTGAATACTAGGTAAAAAGCGAAGTGGCGATGAAAGCACCTTTCCATGCGTTAGAAAGAAGGGAAGAATAACAGATGATGCCTTGAAAAAATGGGACGAAATTAAATCCCCGTATCCACCAGGGCTAAGTAGGGGAGAGCCATCAAAGGGTAGGGGAGCAATTGTATGAACTAGGTGTGAACGAAAAACAATGGTACAAACCCAATGTTATTTCAAAATCGCAACTATGCATCCACGGTCAACACTTGGCAGTGGCATTCACTTGTTATTATCGTTCGTTGAGGATTCACGGTTAAAACACGGAGGCCTTGATTTTAAAAATAAATACAAACTTCAAGCAGTGAATACGTAAGAGTGGGTGTCAGGCGGGAGACTTTGGTAAATGCTTGATGCACTACGTCAACAAACGTCTACCTAATCAATCCTAATTATTCCTCGTTCTTTGGAAATGAAATACAAACCCCTGCAAAGATCTAACTTCTCGACACTATTGTCTTTCTTAAATAAGAATCAATTAATACTACCATTGAAAAAGAAGCATCTAAAACGAAGATTAATCTACATCTGCACCTGCTTGAGCATCCAGCCTCAAAAGACAGGAACTTAAGCTAATTAAATAGTGAAGGGTGGTATTAGAAAAAAATTGAGGAATATATGAGTTCACGAAGGGACAGAATCCATTTGATGAGGAGAATAGGCAAGAGCCTACAAAAAATACCCGGGTTACAATGACTTGATGCATGACCTTAAGTTATGCGTCACCACCTGAAATGTGAAATGATCTCCTGGATGCTGAACATCAGAAGTAAATTTGAGAACAGAAGAGTTAATCTGAAGCAATCCAAGATGGTGAAGTCATCACCACGGACTTCTTTTACAATATGGAAAAATAAGCGACATCAAAGGTTACAAGAATAAAGCGACAGTAACATGTTTGCTACCAGGATCTTGGTGGAAAATCGAGTTCCACGGCTCAGCTGCTTTCCCCTTCTAATGTGATGTAAAACGAGAATGTTTCCAGTCCTTTTTTCGATTAACCGTAAACCAAGAACATCCTAAAACTACAATCTATTCAACCAATCTGTCCGGCTCGCAACAAGAAAAGCATTCCATTCTATCCGTATTGTGTTAAGGGAGCATATTTCCGAGCATAGAAAAGCAGATCTAACTAACGGCTGGTAGCAACTCGTTAGAGCAATGCGAATGGCTTCATGTATAAATGAAGCACGTCAGTTAGTACTAAATAGCCCTTTCTAGCCAGAAATGTCGCGCTTACCAGACCGAGGATGAGTGGGTAGAGGAGGCGGAGGCAAAGGGTTAGGTTGTCTCCTACTTCGCCCTGTGATCGGTGATGGAGGGGATATTTCGAAGGTAGTGGGACGACGGAGTGAGGACGGGGGCGGAGGTGGGGGCATTGAACCACCTCCACTACCGCCAACGCGGGGGCGATGAGGGCGCTGGGCCACTGGTTCAACACCACCATCATCATCACGAGGGCTATCGGAGGGTAAGGAGAAGGGAAGATGGGAGGAGACCTGACTCAGGTCGGTGTAGGCCACGCTGTCATCCTCAGTGTCTTGCGCGTCCTCAACTGAGCGAAAAGGAAGACAAACAATGGCGATGAGATCCTTCAATTTAAAAAAAAAAAACATCCCAACCCAAAAAGTGGATGACCACTTGATGTCCGATTGTGCAAGTATCATAAAGGCATTGCCTTCGGCTAAGAGTATTTTGATTGTGTACTTTGCCTATGAGTTTCTTCAGTACTTCGCATACCGAATATATTCATGCTACTTAGACTCTCTTTGGTAAGCATTATTAATAATAAATCTACTGAGTCGGTAAGCCTTATGCGGTCCTAGGGAATGACACGAACGCTAACTAGCCGCGGTATGCCAGACGGCAGATGGATAGTTGCTCACAACGCTTCTGTCCAACCAAGGTAAGCGAAAAGCGGTAACTCTTTGAAAAGTGTACCCCCCATCCGCTCCCTCTACATATCATAATGGGAAAATAAAGCTTGTTAGAAATGCAAATTCGTTGATACCAAATACCAGCCCATGCGCACAACCCTCTACTTCGCTTTAGCAAAGAGAAAATTACTTTACTTTCAAGCCGAAATACACGCATATTACACAGCTTTGCAATCGACCAGAATTTTCCAGAAAAAGGCGAATAAGGTTATTAGCCCGCTCCAACCTTAACAGTGTTTACCACAAAACCCATAACTGGTCTGCGGCGATTTCAAAAGCGCATTAATTACACACTACTCTTCAACGTTTCGAAATGTAATATCTGTTAACGAGACAGTTAAACACGACCTTCAAGCTGAGCACCACCTATCAATGCTAAAATAAGTCAGCAAGCATTTTGGAAAACGAGTCTCACTCATTTGAGTACCTTTGTGGTAACAATAAAGCAGTGATGAAGGCAAAAGACGAGCCGAATACCCCTAACCTTAAGTACGGTGTTCTAAACAAGCGAACCTACTGTTGGAAACCGACAAAACTTCGGCATTCCCACAATCCACTTTGCAGAGGATGGGGGTGGGTCACTATAAACGGCGATTGACCACATTCAAAGTGGCGCACCGAACACCTCAATAGGCTAGAAAATTAGTAGAAAGTGAAGTAACCAGACCTTTACCACACCAAACCGGTAAGGTGAGACCACTACAATCAAATTATGAAAGGCTTACCAATTGGTCTTGCAATGTGTGGGCACCTTCGCAGCTCACTGGGGAGGCTTTGCTGTAAGTGAAAGAAACAGACACCAGTGAGGCTACCAATGAAGGCCAAGAACGATGGGCAAATATTCTTATCGGGTTTCCCCATCTCTTCGAACCACCCAAGAGAATGGTCCTTCCAAGAGCCCAGAAGTGAGTTCAAATCCCATCCCCTTCACTTATCCCATGCTACTTCATCGTGACACCGGTATGATGTACCGGTTAAAAGATAGCAATATTTTCAATATTATATTTTTTCAGGCGTTTAAACTGTTCATGTTAATCGCTTAAACACAGTTTAATGGCTGGATATTTTTGCCCTAGCCACGCATCCAAGCAAGAGGACAACTCTCAAAGCTCTTAAATCATTCCGCACTCAAGTCGTTAACCCACCTCAAGTTGGCGGTTTATCTTTGCAAGAAAACAAACATCGAAATAGTTAAATTTTGGTACTAAGGCGTACATTCCCAAACGGGAGCGTCCATCATCTCCTCTGCCAGTAACTTAATTATTCATACGTCTTCCAGAGAACCTTGAAGGTGCAAATAGCACGGTCATTCCTGATACCTATGAGCGAGTTAGCGACCCCGAATCGGATAATTATCCACAATCAACCCGGTGAAGTTGCATTAACAATCTGACCGAATGGCCTCGAGCCGAGTACCACTGGCACCAAGAATATTGTAACATCTTTTGAATAAAACAGTAATCCTTGATATTCCAAAAAGTTTGCTTTTATTCGATTATTTTTTATTGACTACACGAAATCCCATCACTCATTCGCTGTTGATTGGTAGAACGAATTCATTCCTATGATGCCTTTGTTCCGATCCAAGTGCTCCCCAAAAGAAGCTAGCAACAAATATACTTTTTAGGATCGCCTAGCAAATCAAGGCGTAATGCCTCCTCGTTTGGAAATCGTCCAGTTTGACTTCCCATTCGATACGATACGATTCCCACGATAATTGTGGATGGCTCTGATATCGTACCACTCGTATTTCCTGCTCTTCAGTCCTTCTGGGTTGCAAAAATGAATTTATTTACAAGCATACTCGTCCTGTATTATCTCTAGGATTAGCCTGGAATATAGAACAAGGCTCGAGATGAACAAGTAACCATCTCGAAATTAACTGTTTCAACAAGGAAACGCACCTTCCTCAGCAACCGATGCACCTCGGATTCCAGGTACTCAGAGTTCTCGTTTAAGCTGCGCAGCTTTTCTGAGAAAAAAGAAGAGATAGAGTTAGAAAGCAAACAAAGTGTCACGAGAAGGCTAAAAGTATAAAAGGAAACCACTCTCACGTTTCAGTTCGCGGCTCTTCTCCACTTTCTGGCGCAAAAGACAGACCTCATCCTTCAATCGACAGTTTTCTTTGAGCACATCCTGTAAAGGGGAAGAAAGTAAACAAGGATAATCCTGCTAACTCCTATTGTTAGTTAAATAGAGCACAGACCCATTTACAGACCGAAAGCCTATCAATGAAGCATGAATCAAAATAATTTTTATAGCATAGCGTGACGCAAACAGATCCAGCATTATTAACTGGACTTTAGCCAATTATTTCTAGTTCTCCCGATGTAAACCGTCCCACCTACTGAACTAGACCAAATGTTAAATATTTTGAATAAGTCTGTGAAACTTATAGAAACAACTTGGCGAAAACAAGACTTAGACAATATTTACCAACGGAAATCCCAGCAGTAACCGATTAGTAGGGAGGCGTAATTACCACCTACGCCATTAGCATTCCAGTGATGGCAAGTGGGTCATGAATGCGTTGGGCGCCTGAGGCTGAAGGACGCCAGCGATCCTACTGGCCTCGCTCCCATCAAAAAATGTTCTCGAGACCAAATTCAATTCAGCCCAAAAATTTTCATGCCAGAGTCAACGCTTCATGGAACATATAGCTCAACAAAACAAATGATAGCAATCTGCACTGTTTTAAATTACACAATAAATCTGCGCCGATTTGGTCAAACAGCACAATATCGTAGTTAGTCAGGTTGTTGTTGTTGCTGTTGGAACCAGAAAATGAAACCATTAATACTTGTGACTACTCAGTCGACCAAACTGGGAGTGGGGGGTTACATTGAAATCCATAAACTTCCATTCAAATAAATCATTACCTTTTATGGATTTTAAAAGTCGGCAAAAACCATGAACCTCTAAAAATGTATACTGACGACATCTGAGCCATAATGCGGTTTCGGAGGGCAGTAATTACACCTTCGGCATTCTTCATGGAACATTTGGAGAGAAGCCGCAAAAGGTCTAACGATGAAGGACCGGAATTCGTCCATGTTCATTTTCTACATTTTAAACTCACCTCAGATTCAGATCTCCCAAGAGACATTAACTGTGTAGAGACTGGGAGCTGCTTACTACGAAACCAATGTCACCAAGTAGATTTGCTAACGCTCTTTCCTCAATAGAGGACGTAATATTATCCACAAGTGTTCGCCATAAGCATCAACAACCTTGGAGCAATGGAGACCTAGTAATATTCGTTAATATTAATCTTCAATCTATGAAAATAAAGTGGATTACACTTTACACCTCACTCGACAAAACCCAAAAATCACCATTTAGTTTGCAAATAATACCAAAGTTTTGCAGTACTACTTGTATTGGGGTGTGGAGATGGAGGATCAAAAAGAAATGTGAAAATCCGAATCGTTGACTCGATAAGCTAATTGCAAAAGTCCTCATGAGCTTTGTTGATCCACGTGGAAGGCCGAGTTTCACCTATGCCTAAATTCACAAGACTACGCTAAGAAAACCGAGATAAATCTTCTATTGAATTTGAAAAAGTGCATCAAAGCTTCAGAGGATAAATTCTCAAGGATGTTTTATAATGTTTCATTTGTTGAACTCTTGAGTTCGTTAACAAGTCAACTAGGAGTTCCGCCGTTGTTCCTTGTCGGGTAGCCTGGCCTTTGGGCTATGCTGATGGCACCAAGTCCTTCTATAGGTCGTCAATGCATATTCTGCCAGAGCAATGTCTTCTCTCATCCTCAGGGGATTCTAGAGGGCGACAGAGTTCTGTCAAAAATGTTCACCTCAAGAAACGTATTGGTTTATTTGGTTTGAAGCACAATAGTGCTTACAACTAAGGCAGACGACGAAAACGTAGGCACAAAAGCGATGCATGAAAACGAAAGGAATGTCGGCAGTTTTGACTAAAGAAGTGCCAAGCACTACTAGCTGAGGTACTACATCAATTCAAGTACACGGATAGATCAGATACGGAAGGGTGGAGCCAAGGAGTGTGCCAATAAAAGTCAGTTAGTAAAGGGAAAGTGCGCAGCTTTCCGTAATTTTAATATCCACTCTGTGAGATGCAACGGTTACACAACAGACTGCCGGGTAGGCAAGCGACGTGGTAAACAACAGGCACTAATTCATTTCTGTAGGAAAAGCGAGAGTATCACATGACGTAAAGCGTGCCAATTATAAGCACAATTGTATAGTCAAATACCGGAGCAAGTGGCGAATAGGAATTGGCTCCATCAAAAGCATTTATAAACACGACATAGTTAGCTGCGATTGAGCTGGAGAAAAAATATAATGGGTGGAAATGCGGACAGGTAGATTTTCAAATAACTCCAGTTTAGAGAGCCGAGTCAAGGTCAAATAAAGGGAAATCGTTTTAACGACTTTATAGGTATCTTGTAACAATACAGAATGACACGTCATGGCAACTATGATTCAACTGCAAATTTAACTGGGAGGAGGCTAAGCCAGAGTAGAAAACGATGCAAAGAGAAGCCATAGACATTATAATCACATTACCGGACAGATGCACAGACACAAAGACAGTCGAGCTTTAGTGGAAGCTGGACACAATTAGACAAAATGGAAGAAAATATTCGTGAAAACTGAGACAATTTGGAAACTAAGGCATATGGAGATGCAGTGGCCGCAGAACAAGGTTGCAGAGACAAGCCTTCCGGCGATCTAGGTTTTGCATCCGATTGAAATGGAAAATGAAGGAGGTATACACAGGTAAGTAGGTGGAGGAATAGATGGATTGTCTATTAAAGACCTTAAATGGAGAAGTAATTCTCTAGCAGATGGAAATTAAAGGTTTAACTGACGGATGCACAGCCAAATGGATCAGACGTCAGCCCATGAATGAATGAATGGGCGCAAAGATAAGTGGGAAGAATAGTGATTTCCTGATAGACCAAGGGGTGGTTGGATACGCAGACAAAAAGACGTACCTCTAGATTGCCAAAGGTGAGTAATAGTTGAGAGCACAGGGAGTTGAGCTGGTAGGATACATCACTCTCCGTAAAGGAGGCTGAGGAGGAGGTGCCGCGTTCAATCAGACCACCACGTTCTAGACCCGCCACGAAAGCGACGGTAGCAGAGCGATGGTGCTCCACTAGGGCATGGAAACGACGTGCCTCGCGCTCGTTTAGCTCGCAGTTGTGGTGTGCTCGTGCCGAGAGCGCCCGCTCCTGTCGGCACTCCTCCTCCATCGACTCCAATTGCTCTCGCTGATGAGTACGAATAAAACCAATTAAATAGATTCAGAAAGCAGGTATTACTCGATGGATAAGAGTCGTATCCCACCACCTATGTTTGTATTCACTTATCGGTCTAGAAGAATACCCGTCTGGAAGCCCTCACTGCAAGACACCCAAACGAACCGCAGAATATTACAGTCGAGGAGAGGTGGTCAACAGAATGTTAACAAGGCTGGTATTTGCACTAGATGAAAATTGATCAGCCGAGCCTTTTCCAGTCTTCTCAACCAGGATTTATATATGCTGAACGATGCAACTATTTCCAGACATGCGTATTCCATCGCCTAGACAAAAGTAACTCAGAAACGAAGTTGCCATCAGCGTTGTTCAAATCTACCAGTCAAGATGCTGCAGCAAAAAGTCGCGGAAGGATGACATCTCCCTTGAGTGACCAAGCGTGCAGAAGCTTCCAACAGAAGGATCATCAAATTGGAATCGATTTCCTTCAACTATTCAAACTTCAATCCACGGAAAACGACGAGTCAGGTCCGATTCTTCCACAAAAGTGCTAGCAATGGCGAAATATGACCAGTTAATGACCCTGCACGCTACAAGAGCCTGAAAATAATTAGTATTAAAGGAGGAGAGACAATAGCGAAGAACACGACTCCATGAATATATTTAATATCGTACAATTTATTGTTTTTCTTTCAGTAAGATAATTCTACGCTATGCTGACTCTGGAGAATATATTTCAGTCATATACAGCGTATAATAATGCGGTTCGTAATCAGGATATAATAGGTCAATCCTTTAAAACCTGGGCAGAAACCCACTATTAGATTAGGATGTCTTCGCCCTCCAGGCCTGAGTTGTCCGTCTTTAAAAGGCATCCCAAAGAATCAGTTAATGGTATAAAAGAGCACTTACTAGCGGTCAGGCGTCATTGATATTTTATGACGTCTTTGCTGTTAGGTGGATTAACCTCACACCACAACTCAGGGAATTTATAGCAGCCTAACTAATTATTTCACAGTATTTGCTCAGAAATTATCCCGACTTAAAAGGCAGTAGCAAACCGACACATGCTGTGCCTCAAGTCACGATGGTGTGCATATCACCTCTCAGATATTCAGCCATCAGATCTAAAGAACGATTGTTGCGCTATTCAATGAACAGATTGTATTGTCTTGGTCCTTTAAAAGTATTTCAGCTCAAAAAGACGATCTCAGCTAAAGGCGTTTATAAACTGGGCGTCGCAGCTTATGAAGTTACCTGTCGATTTCTGTCAAGACTTAGGGTTGTAGTATGCTTTGTACAAAACCAGGTTGTTTAATAGATGGTCAATGTCTGTCAAACGTTCTGAAGATACTTCTGATGGGAGGTTGCGCTACAGGCTGGCAAACAATCATTCTACCCGCAGAATACCCGTCGTACTGTCGAAAGGACAAATTACACGTGTTCTATTTTCACTTAGCAACAAAACGGACTTCACTCATTGACCCAAAATCGTATTACTTGGTGACAACCTGAAACTATAATATAAAAAGGTAAAAGGGACTTGCTAATCCTTCCGAAAAGCCTGCAAAATTAATTTATCAAATTCAAAAGCAGAAATCCTGTCTAGCTAGCAGAGCAGCATCAGGCGCTATCTCCTGTCTGCAGTCAAAACAAGCCCAAAATTAATTTGCCGTCTGATTGCGATTTCTAGATATTTTCGTAGATAACAATACCGTAGTGTTGACCAATTACATTCGATAGCGGCCTGAACAATACAGAAATTATGTGGATGCAGCTACTATTCCCTTTGCAAAGTGAATAATTTACCAGACGTGAGATTTGCTCTGTGGCGGAGGCAAGGGATTCTGAAGTTTGAATGAGGTCGTCGTTCAACCGATTGATCTCTTTATCCTTCGCCTGCACCGGACCCTCTTCCTCCGCAGCCTCTGTTTGAATTGATGCACTAGTGGATTTCTACAAGACGCACGTGAATCACGGCGTGACCTCGTAAGTTGGACGATTGCATGAGATAGTAAGGAAGGAGTATGGGTGGTAAGGTGATGAGATCTAAGTGCAAAAAGTTAGCAAGTGATGCATCTAATATTTAGTCTCGTTCAATCTAAAACAAGTTTAAAAACGGACAAAAACAGCTTAGAGTGCAAGTTGTAGAAAAGACACTAATATGGAAACGTAGATCTTAAATTGAATTATGTTAAAAACAGTTATTCAACCGGTTTTACAATTCATTAAACGAAAATTGGGAAAAAGTGCAACACAGGGCTTTATAACCTATGCACGGGGCCATTTTTAATCATTATCAAAGAGGAAATTTGTACAAAGACGACAAATCTAAAATCAAACAAGCCCAGCTAAATTCACAGGCAATATATCTAGAACTAAAGTGGAAAATAGAACCAACTTAGGGACGAACGTTAACTTCGGATAAGTCAAAATTTATAATAACTCAAATTGAAACAAAAATCATATAACACTAAAACGGGGAGCAAAAGAGTGAAATCTTTTAATCTATTTGGCAGAGAGAATCGGCATAGGTAAAACTGCGACGCACCGATTGAGGGAAGGAAAAAAATAGCGAGCCGACATAAATCGTACCACACAAAAACACAGAACTTGAATTATCCGTCACACGCCTTCACACTAGCCGAATAAGCTTACATACAAAGGGAAGAAGATAGGACAAAAATTTGCTCAAATCCACCACCAGCCACGGATAACCAAATCGCAGTTTGTGGTTTAGTTTCTTTAAGCTTGAAATGCCAACTTCGGAAACAAAAATTCTAGACAGGTAATTTTGTGCCTAAAAACTCCAGAGCGAAGGTGACCAAGCCAAAGGAATGCCTACTGTTGAGCAGCTGATTTATTTCCGTTAAGAAAAATAAAAGAAACAGAACATGTGAGCATTAGCCTCACCAGCTAGACAGATTCTGCCGGGGATAAGTGAGTACCACAGTTGGCAGATCCTTTATTGAGACCAATAAAAAACCTTGGGCTCGAAAGCCAACAGTTGACAGGCCTATATTTATGGGGCTGCAAGGGGAAATAAATTGCGAAAGATGAATATAGAGATTAAAGTGACGACGACATCAGCCAAACTTTGTTCCGAAAAAAAGGAACGAGACATCGCTTGGGATAATGCTTTATTACACACACATTAAATTTTAACCAGGTTTCACAATCGCCTACTGCTAAAATAAATCGTTTTAGAAGGGCTAGATCGCATAATGTCAATTAATTTATCATGCAGGAAAAACAGACTTACCAACTCACCCAGTAAATCTAGTTTTAGCGAACTTGTGTAAGGAAAGTGAAGAGCTATTTACTTAAGAGGAAGTCGGAAGGTCAGAATTCGAAATGTCATGCTAAAGACTGCAATTAATCCCAAGGGAGTGTGTTTCGTGTCTGTGTAACTAGAAGTGAGCAGATAAGGGCAAATTCAACGAGAGTGGGTGATGGGCCCGTCTACCCTTTTCAGAGGATAAGGGAAGAGAAAGCAGGACTAGATCACTTATGTGGAAAGATGGGAGATTGTTCAACCTACTAAAGCGACCGCCATAAACTGAAGGTGTCCACTAACAATTGCAGTAATTTCAATCAACATTTATATGCAATACTCGTACGTTAAATGAATAAAATGCGTTCAGGAGGTGAGAAAAAATCGTAGTCGCGGTCCGCAAACAATACACAATTGTCCTGACAAATAAAGAAAGAAATCAATCCTCAGGAAGTGAATGAAACCAATGGCGAAAAGAAAAAGGAGAGGAAAACTCGATGATTCCAAGATATAATTAGATCCTCAGAGTAATTCCCTGATACAGACTTCAAATATGGAAAATTAGCTGTTAAGTAGGTGACTGAAACAGACATGATATTAGTAATTAGACGAGCATTAAATTCTAGAAAAACATAGTATCGAGGCCATAAATCATGTTCCAACTACCGATAAAGGTACTATTAACAAGTATTTGTCTGAGTTCACAGAAAGAAACGACAAATAAGCAGAGTATGCTGATATCTGTGTACTCACTGTCTCCACAGAAGCTTGCAAGCCCACCTCCTTCCTCTCCACATCCCTGAAAGCACGCAACTGCTCCACCAATTGATCCACCTCAGCGTTGCGCCGCGAGAGGGCCGCAGCCAACGCCTCCGCAAAAGCAATTGCCTCGGGAGTCAACAAACCCGCGGCGGTGACCTCGAAGGCCAGGCGACCCTGCAGAGTACCAAGATCATCAGTGAGGTGGCGGCGTGCCATGTCGGCTGCCGCCTGTGCCTCTTGTGCCATCACCAACGCCGTCTCCATGGTGTCGTGTTTGGTTTGCATCTGAGCGAGTAAGTCGCGGAGACGAGAGACTTCAGTGTCCGTTTCAGAGGTGTGAGCCATGGCTTCTTGAAGCTGTTTCTGGGAAGACGGAAGAAGAGAGGAAATAAGGAACTAAATCAATGTTGATTCGAAGCATTTACAGTGAAGTGAACAGTGTGAAGATTGTAGAGGAGTTGATAATGCGTTTTGGGACATTATGAGAGAAGAAAGAATTTCAACAAAGAAAATCAGGTCAGAAGTTAAGAACTATCACCCAAAAAAAACCGAACATATTCCTAAAGGATTCAAGTAGGCTCGTTCAGGAAGTAGATAAAAGCAAAGAAAATTTATTCGACCGCCACTGAGCGATTATGAGAAATGAAAAGAGGAGTTAGATTACCAAAACAAATTGAACACGGTATTCGTACCAAAGATTAAGTGGGAATCAAAGATATTTCATGCGACAACTTCACAGAAAAAAGGTCATGAGGCCGTTTCAAAGATGAAAAAAGATAAAGGGAGTAACGGTGGCTTGTACCATTCACAAGGGAAAGGGCCGAATGAATAGGGGAACCAGACAAACTGATACAAATTTGTTCGACTCGCAGTGCTCCTTCCGAATACTCTACAGGGATCAATGGAGACTTCGAGGGGAAATAATTGTGAAGCTGTCTTCAAATGGAAGAGAGAAATCGCATAAATACTTGCATGGACCAGGCAAGGCTTTTTAAAGATTAGGCGACAAAAAAAACTTAATCCTACTGCTTTAATAAGCCGGAAATGGCGTGAACTTACGACATCCACAACATACAGATAACAGATTGTACAACAGTTCCAAGGAAAGGAGGGAATATTTGGACAAAATTTGCCAAATGGAATGATGTAATCTGTGAATAAGATGGTAAAAACTTATTGGAGGAATCAAACAATCAACATCAAATGGCGGAGCTAGATGAAGGATGTGAAAAGGGCGACTCGCAAAGACGAAATAAGTCAACAGCAGTGGGGAAACGCGGACAAATGCGTAATTAAACTTATCTACAAAAGTTTAACTACTCCAAATGAACATATTATCATAACTAGAGGTTTGTGTAATAGTTCCTTTTCAACAGTTGGACTCACAGTGACGTGCAGCATCTTCCTCGAACGGGCAGAAGGATAAGTGGTTTCTTGCCACTAGCTTTGTCCCCCCCCTACCCCACGCATACCTTTCGACGGGTGAAGCTATCAGCGTTATCCATTTTGCCATCTATTATTTTTGAAAGAAAACCACTGTCATATGATTCTATGGGTGATTTTTCACACGAAATAAAGCACCCAAACTTTCACACTAGTGCCACTAGCACGTCATGCTTATTAGACTAGCAAATGACTTTCATTAAATAGTAGGAGTTAAGAAGTAACTTCATTCCTCCAGCAAGCCGATTGCCTAAAAAGCCTGAAGGCACACCTGGAGTTAAAGAAAAACAGAATGTTGGCGTCGCCAACTGACGTAAATTTCAGTACGCGTGGAGGAATAATTGAGGCTTTGTTTATGTGACGCTGTGAATACACCCACCGGTATGGCATACTATGTGGAAGCACTATTTACTTTAAAGGCCATTTCAAATGACCACCTCTGCTAAAGATAAGAAAGTGGTGAGTAGTGCTCGCCTAGTGTGTATCAGCCAAATGAGAATGAATTGAGCTGTCTCAACTTCAGCCTCTAGCTGCCCAGTGACACACAAAGCCTGTCATTGTCAGTCATGCTTTCTTAAAGTCGCCTTGAGATGAAGTGGGAGTTTTGTTACCTCTCCAGAAAGTGAGAACAGATTGACCTTAGCAAAGTTGAACACGCCACCTGTGCTAAATTTGACTGAAAATAAATTGCGCTTAGCCGATGCCATCGGTTCCTAAGGTCACCGCCTTGAGACTAGGTAGACGTGTGACTAATTCACCTGGCTGAGAAAAATGAAACGGTACTCTCGATTTTTCAGGCTTTTATAAAAAGAGCATAAAGTGGAGGCAATTTTACAGGTCAAGGTGTGAGTCACAAGACCAAAGTGATGGAAAGCGGTAAGAGACTATGTCAACTTTGGAACGCATGTATCACGCACAAAGACCACTTCATGCAATCGTCAAAGTCGCTGCTACCGCTAGTCGCGAGTGCATGTGTGTTTACATTGGAGCGAGGGGGAGGAAATGACTGGCCCCGTCATCATCACACCAAAAGGAATAGGAACACGCTCGGGATGTGAATAAGCTAAAGCATTCACACGAAAATGACACTCTCGAACCCCCCTTTTGAGGCAGCACCAGATGGATTGCCATCGTCATAACTCCTAAGCTTTGACAAATCGAAGGGCCTAGGCAATCTCGAAAATGCGTTTTAGGGGGTATGAGCAGGAAAGCAGCTTTTACCGACACAAGAGTGGCCAGGAGTTAAAAAGCGGAACTCTATGCAACTGGCGTGGAAACCAGTTCACAGAATGTTTAAAACCATATGAAATGTTATACAGAATGTTTTCTGACATTTTCGGTCAGTTTAGCTGACTCCCCTCACCTCCCTTTGGTGGTAGCATCATCATCACCACTGGACATGAAGTCGGATGAAACCGGTCAGATGTATTAAAATGAGGTTACATGTAAAACAGCTGCTAAACGTGCTGAACTATAACCATCCACAACAACTACTCAGTACAATCAACCGATCAAATGACTGGTTATATTCCGCCCTCTACGTTTCTTGTTGGAGGGCGGAGAAAACAACACACCTACCGGATTACTTGTCGAGTGCCACAGCGTACCCTTCGCTTTATAAAAAAAGCATTCAGCAACAGTTGGGAGATGTCTGTATTTAACTAGATATCCTACCAAGAGAGACTTTTTTGACAATTGCAATTCGGCTGACGACCTGCTCAACTTATGCCACTAGACCTCCAGTCCTCACGAGAGGGTAACGAAGCACTCTCAGACAAATGCGCCTTGGAATATTTTCAGGAATGACTAAGGGGGATACGGTATCAAAGGGCAACGACAGTCGTAGAGGGAATGCTACAAGAGAGGTGGCAAAGACATCATAAAAAAGCTACAGCAAGCATAAAAATACCAGGTCGATTAGGTAGTTCTAAATTCAAGCCGGTATCTCTCACAGATTTGGTTGCAAACGGTCCTCCTTCGTATGACTACTGAAAAGATGTCTGAATGCCATCTAAATGGAGCCTGAAATATCTTGGATTGTGGCCATCACTAAGTAATACTACGGCATGAATAATAAATGAGTCAGCCACAATGGGCGATTTGCTGAGATTGGTTCCCTAGTGAAAGACAGGGGGCAAACACAACGTCAAAAGAAAATCCCACCACTTAATGTAAATGTCAAGCTACCAATTAGACTGCCGGGGATGAAAAAAATCATTTCTCTTCACCCACTCCACAGACTCGGTCGCCACCAGCTGACAAAATTAAGCTATCAACAGTGCCTTAGACACGTGTGCTCTGCCCGACTGCTGGGGACCCACCTTCTCGATTATAAAGCCAGAGCTGCACACTTTCTTACCGACAAATATGAAACCGAATGAGAGGGCTACATACCTCTCACATTATGTCTGCAGTCCGGCGAGGACAAAAAATAGATGGAGGAAAGAACCCACCACTTCTAAGTAGGACGAACCAACAAAACTGTGAGGAACGCAGAGCTTTCTGTGGTGGTAGAGGCAAAATCATTGGGAGGAGTAGATGCGAGCAATCAGTCAGTCAAGGAAAGTGGATAATAAGTGGCGACCAAAATTGTTTTTGACATCAGTGATAATAATAATGGAAGGTGTTTGTCGTTATGACGGAACGAAACGAACTTGCACATAGTCGAGAAAATGGACAGTTAGTCGCCTTGATGGACTACGCATAAAATGAGGCTCAGTTCAACTCCATGGCAGAAATTGCCATAGCACACGCTTGCATACTCCTGCTAACAGGTTATCCCAGCAGATACCTTAATGACTAAGATGGCCGACCGGAGGATGCCCACGCGTGAATCGTACAGTTAAGATTTTTCGGATTGAAAACATCCACTTCAAGTACGATGCCAACAACTTCTGAGATCAACTTTCACTTTCCAAGGTAACTTTCGGAAGAATGTACAACACAGGAACGGCCATATACTAATTTATTTGCCATTAATTAATTTGAAACACCCCTATTCATATGCCCCTGCTTTATCTGCCCTCAGGGAATCGCACTAAGGCCTACAAGACACCCCATCAACTTTACGTCATAAAACAAATAGAACTTGGGCGATTTTTCAAATTTGGACTCCAAATCTGCAATATAGTTTTGCTGCACTCTGAATAACAAACAAGGAGGGGTTGAACTGTCGATAAGGGTACTTAAGACAATGAATGAGCTCCATTTCAGGGAAAGGAATTTCTGCGTTTCTTAAATCAAAGTGGGTGGCGACTGATGGAATATAAAGAAAGCACAAAGATAGAGCTGACTGATGTGCTAAATGATAAGTGCTTTACTTAGGGCCCAATGTAGTACCGAAGCTAAATAGCTGTGAAATTTTTCCCCGTGAATTTAGCACCAAAAAATGGCCGTTTCTCCCGTCTTCAAAGCTTCGTAACTAACTGCATCGAAGATAGCATATCCTCGAGTCGGAGTCAAATTCCAACCTTACTTTAGAAAAGAATCACCAACATTATGCTCACTACATCATAAGGTTCGTTATACTAACTTGAGAAATACGCTTCATACTAAAAAAGCCCGGCTATAAAGGGACAATATGCATGGAATCTGCGTGGTTGAAAAAAAGATAAGTTGACAAGGCAATGTAGACGCACACAATCTCCCTACCACCTTGCGTCCAAAAAGTGAGGTACAAGTGGTGGTTTGACAAGATCCCTCGCGTGTCGGACAATCCACCTCGGAAGAGAAAAAAATACTGGCGTCAAGAGGGCCGTTACGCATAGGCGACTTCCCACGACTTTTAGTAACCGTAGTTACTTGAGATAGGTTCTTATACGATGTGAACATGAACTGGAGTTACGAATATCGAAATATCTACAGGCTTGATGCCCGCATAATCGAAATTGTGACAAAATCATTATGCTTCGAGGCGAATACGGGAATTGGGTTGTAAAGGAGCAGCATGTGGTGACTAGACACTCACGACGGGAAACTGATAATCCCACACCCTGTGTAATAATGCATCCTGAGAAAACAGCAACTATTGCCCCGGCGATTATAGCCGCCTGGTTTAGGGTATAAGGTGCTCATTGCCAAAGTAGAGTGCATTCACCAGTGGAGCGCACTCCGATCAAAGGGAATGAATTATGAACAATGGGTGGGTAAACACCTCTTAATTAATGTCTTTACCACACGACTGCATGCGGAGTGCTACGCTCTCATTTTTACCGAACAAAACACACGTAGCAGTACAGCTTATAGAAGGCGCCTTTAGATTCCAGTTGAAAAAAAGCAGTAGCACCTATCCATTTGTAAATTAAAGCTATAAAAGGCCGTTTCGAATAACGAGAATGCAGGGGAGAGGATTTGATCATATCCTAGCTGGCCGAACAGGCTGTTAATGAACGAAATAAACCAAAGGAATCGGAAGTCTAAATGTCTTACATGAGGAGAACTGCCAGATAGTTGGAGAATACCGGAAGGATAAAAAACGGACTTTCAAATCCTAAAAAGAGACCTCAATATTACAAAATGGGAGTGTCTTGAGTAATAAATATGGAAAAAAGAAGTGAGCATTCTTCAACATTTTTGTCATTCAAGAACTTTGCAAGGTATTTAGCTGCCCTATACTGTTGATGATAACTCAAAGGGAACGCTGGGGAAACAAAGAAAAGTCTCCAGCATAAACGGATTCAAAACGAATTGTAATAAAAGCATTCAGAAGAGAGGTGTGATTAAAATAAACAGCAAAGTCATTCTACAAAGCATTTGCAACGCAAAGCAGGGGTATGACGAAGTGCGGTACTTCAGCAGCCTAAAAATAAAAATTTTAAGTGACTTGAGACAGTAAACGATACGATGACTGAGAGCACAGCCACACTAATCATTGATGCCACTGCCACTCGAGAGAAAACGGTACAATTCTTTTTTCAAGCTTATATATGCTATTTGCGATAGATCAGTGATGGAGTGGATGACAAAGAAACAATCACATGTCGAGTAAATTCCGAATTCAAAAAACTAAAGCAAGAGTGGATCATTTAGTGATGTGAGAGCGCCCCGAGTTCTACCGTAGATCGAGGAAGGTGGAAAATTTAAGTAGCAGTCGGCGAGAAAACAATTTATCAGCTCTTGTTTCGTCAAGACCAAATACTTGGCTTTTAAAACAGTTTGCATAAAGAATTTTCAGTGGGATGCCATTGATTTAAGGGATAACTCGTAAAATTCGTGGTGAGTCGGTGGTAGACTGCGTAGGACAGTGAGAAGAGCAACCATACAAACCAGTTCCAGCTAAAAAATAATTGAATGCAAACGCCAAACCACTACATACCACAGTGTTTTCAGCACCCCACAATTACAAGAATAAGTTGGTGAGAGAGAGGCAATCAGTTACCCACTTCAAGGCTGCGAATTTGACTCCGAGCTGACTCGAGCTCACGATGAAAGACGGAACCAAGATTCTCCCCATTAGAGGGCATCGGTGCGAGGTTGGTGGTGATCGCCGACATGCTGACATCGAAGGAGGTCTCCACGGGAGCATCTGAAAAGGCAGTAGAATACAATAAATCGACCATTCTTCTGATAGCCGCAGTAATTAATGTGCACGTGGTTCTAATAACGCCTCATGTATATTTTGTGGCTGCACTAGTCATCGCTCGTATTAAAACTTCAAGAGTTACTCGGTCGAGACATTGTTGGCAGCATGGTTAAATCTGCTTATTACCATCAATTTCTTTGCAAATGAAACCTAATAAATCCAAAAAAGACCAATCGACAATCAGAAAGTAGTTAAACAAGTGGGTTCCGAAAGGAACGAACAAATTAAAAGGAACGAAGGGGTTTCTAACATGGCGTTCTCATAAAATTTGCTTGGTAAGAGATCTCCACCACTTGAATGGCCGGATTGAGTGATGACAAGCAGACGTGTTCATGCCTGAATGGTAGTAAACTTGAATAAAGTACACTTTCAAGCCATGAACAGAATTATCATATCGGAAGCCGGAGCTAGAAACTCCAAGCTTCTCGAAATATTCAGCAGTTTCATGATCTTCCAGCTATGTAACTGTTGTTGAACAAAATTTCTGAAATGTAAATGAGAAAATATTAAAGAGGGGATGTATAACATTGCCACTTAGAAATGAACTGTGCACCCAATTGAGTGTGATAAGCATAGCAAGAAAAAATATTCCTCACTGCTTCTCTCATCCATTCGAAATCAGGTTTCTGACTTTCAAAACAACTCTCAGAGGTCCTTATAACAGAATTGTACTATTTTCTGTGAAGAGGATCAGAAGAAGCAATGTTTAGCCAGGGAATAGGGGAAGAAAGTTGTACGATGTTGCAGCAGAGCTTACAAACTGCTATTTTATAGCTGTCTAAAAATCTTCCATGGTAAAAAATGCACCAGACATTGCATAGTACAAACCGTGTGTCGGAATCACTTCTCAATGTGATGCAAGACCCAAAAAAGGTGAAAAGACAAAAAAAACGCAAGATTGATGACGCCCCAAAAAAGCAGTGATAAAAGATGAAATGATAAACCCCAATAAGTGAGGCACTGCGATGAAAAACAAGCACAGCTGTGCCTAAATAACTATCCAAACTCGAAAAAAACGTCTCTTGAGAAACTTTATCAACTATGTGAGATACAAAACAGCAAACTTGACAGACGGTGTAAGAAGTCTAGGCAGATTTAAAACACTGCAATTCAACAACAGAGTATCATTCAGAAGGCTATCAAAAGTAAGGAACTGCAATATCTTAAGAGGCGAAACGCAAAGGAAACTGCATGGAAGCAAATTAAAATAAAAGTTAAGTGGTTTACAGAACAAAGAATAAAAACAAAACCCTCGGACTACCAATCGAATTCGCTCAGCCTTGCTCGATTTGGGCATGAACTTAAAGCCTTTCAAGCTTTGGTACCTCCGGCACGAAATAGTCTAAAATATGACTACACAAAAGATACCTCAGCGATTTAATCTTCCGAATAATGTACTTTGGAGGACAGAAGGTGCTCAATAATTGTGGACAAAACTGAACCCCACACCGACTCAACGTGACTCGGAGGTAAGGCTTAGATGATCCCCTTTCAATAGTTTTAGACCTGTTCGAGATGTGGTGCAAACAGAAGTGTCTCAAAACTGAGTTCGGCGGAACAGTCTGCGTGTAATGCCACTACCATCCACCTTCATCTGCATTTAGCTCGACAGATGTTTCGGTGAGTCACAGTGCAGCAAAAAAGGAAGAAATGGATGGACATTATCGAGGGGAAATAACCCCCAAAAATAGGGGAATGTGGCCAGTGAACTTCGAATGTCAAGCATGGCCCCCATTACAAAAATGTCAAAAAACTTGGGGACACTCTTCAAGGGCTTAGTCATCCGGCAGCGAGACGGACATAAAAGCATAGGTAGGCACGCATGCATCCGCGCACAATCCACACCTCAATCACATACTTGAAGGGAGGAAATGGGTTCGCTGAACATCGGGGTTAGCTCATGCAGGGTCAATGCTGAAAAACTCAATTTTAAAAGCTCCCAGTGATGTTATAACTATTACAAAATAACCTCATTTAGGAAGGGAAAACGTAGGCAACACGTTGATTAGTAAAACAACTATTAAGACTTTTACGAAACAAGTGGTCTGTTATGGTTGGGAAGTCAAGGTTAAGAAAGCTTAGACAGAAAGTGCCCAAAAATTACCGAATAAAGGGATAACAAATCTCTAGTAATTTTCGCAGTTAAGGCATAAATTGTATCATATGCGACAGCTCAATTCTGCAGAACTGAAACGAAGAAAAGGTTGGAAAAATGGGGAAAAACTGCGACAAGTTGTTAATGAAATAAAAATCAGAACGCGAATCTGAATATCATCAAAGAGCTAAAAGGACTGCAAAAAAAACCTCGCTTTACATTCGCTGTGCAACCCAGGCAACGTATCCATAGATTATCACAAGTCTGGTTCCCAAAAAACGTACAATGAATGCATAAAATCCCAGTGTGTAATGTTTCGCTTAATTAAGGGATATCAACTTAGTGTTTGCTGCCTCACGGATTAGTATCCGTACTGCATTACCACATCCTCAGAAATGTGGCACTAGTTTGCACTAAGCTCCAGTGGCAGCGATACCCTCAATGCTAACTCCAGTAATAACCAGTCCTCAATGATGCAAACAGAAAGGCAAATAGGCGTGAATTCGAAACTTCAAAGCCGTCAGCCCTGGCCGGTAAGGTCAACTTTTAATGGCATCAGATGCATTTGAACCTTAGATTCTCGACATTTTATAGCAATTCAGCAGCTGCCTTAACAGACTTGACATCAGCTTGTACCATGGACTCCAGAGTGTCAAAGATCCCGGTTGCAATTCCTCCCACTTAGGTGAGCAACTAACAGCAAAATGCAGCATGTGGAAAGAGTCGTCTTATACCCTAATAAACGACGAAAGCATTTTTAAGCGGGTGTTCCCGTTTTCTGAAGTTAGTAATGATGAGATCGAGAAGCACCAATGTTTACATGTGACTGGATGGCTAACAATTTATGAATTCAAATAATGTCAAAAGGTCATGCATTTAATTATATGCAGTAGGTCAAAGGGGGCGCTGCAAGTTGACCTACAGTTGGAGGCATTTTTCAACTGTAAATAAAAAGATAAAAAGAGGCAGTCTGCAGTCATTGAGACAGAAAACATTGCTCACCTTATGGACTGATACCCGACTACCTCCAGTAAGTAAGAAAACGTACTCCTATTTAACAAGGTATTAGTGTTGACCAAACACTGGAAATGAAGCAGATGAACCGATATAATCAGTAAACGATCCAACTCTGAATTTACTCCTTCATGATGTAAATAAGGTGAGTAGGCGCGGATCAAAAGTTGTAAAACAGCCTGTACTGTAAGGCAAGATAAAGTGCTTCGCCTGGGTTAAATTTCGATACCACCAGTTGACATTAAAGTTGAAATCTTACAGTTATAAATTATCCGTTACTGAGTACGCATTCTTCGGGCCAAGGTGACAGCGTTCCTAGGCCTCACCTCTGCTTTACCCTGCCGCGGATGTACATAGCAACGCTGGTCTGCGCAATCAAATACTCAGGTCATGGAGAAGGATATCCGCCTCGGAGCGTGAAACACATTGAGAAAACACTCTATTTATTCAGTTAGAGTCTTTATATATCTCTACAGTTAAGCAGAATGATGAAGTGAGAAAGTGGACGAATGGCAGTGGAAAATTTAGCATCCACCAACCATCCGACGGAAAGCCCTGATGGGGCACTGACATAGTGAGGTAGAGCGCCACACTGAGGTCAAATTTTAAAGCCGCTAGTAGGAGTAGAGATTTAGGGCTTTACGCTGTAAAACTTTTCCATTTAGAGTTGACCTTAACCCTCGCAAATGTAAAAAAATAATATAAAGGCCACCACTTTTTTGGAAATCATTAACAGACGAAAGGATATAACGGGTTCGGAAATCCACAGTAGGAAAAAAAGACAGTTTGTGATATAATAAGCCATCTCTGAGATGCATGAAACCCAGGACACCCGACCTCACGAATTGGATGGCTTGGCAATTCGAGAAACCATCAGAGATAAGCTAGAAGAAACGACAGAAGGTCCCCGAGCGCACAAATGACTCACGCCGGAGAGTGAATGCATGCATGAGTGTGCGTACGACGAGGGAGTGAATGAATCAGCAAAGGAACAGCGCAAAATGCGCTGGAGCATGACTGCACAGACTCTCCCGTTTCTAATGCCGCGAATCGAGATATTAATAGTACATGAACAACAGTTGGTCTACCGCTTAGTTGGACACAATAGGGATAGTAGTCTCTGAATACCACGACGTGAACGGGGGAGAGGCTGGTTATCAGACCATTAAACGGGGACTACTGATGGGGTCACATACACTTACATCGATTAGCATGTTTCTATCCCCTCCATTCGCACTACTAAAACAAACAGCCCTGCGACAACCAACGTGCTCATTACAACCGGTATTAATGTAAGCGAAATTATGCGACTTCCTATATTTGCGTAACCACGATGTACACAAATTAGTACCATCAAAGGACATTTGCTGACTTTGGACAGGATTACATGGGAAAAAACTATTGCTTTCTTCATGGTTAAAAACGTTCGTAGATGTGCATAACGGTTGAAGAGGAGGAAACAAGGGCTGTAATAAATCGCTGGAATGTTCCATGGAATGGGAAAAAATTACGGGCGCCCATTCATCATTGGTATTTTCGTACTTTAAGTTGGTAGTTCCCTTGCTACTTTATGAGAAAAACAACCAACATTCAGCAAAGGTTTGATAAAAATTAATATGGAACTGGAAAATTTGCAATTTTTACGTCAAAATATAGCAATACCCACTTATAGATGTAACGCTAACTGTAAACATACTGCCTTCCGGCTTAAAGCAAAAGCTAAAGTAATTTAAAAAGTAAGAAGACTTCAGGACACATCACAGATTCCTCAGAAGTCAGAATTCAGGAAAGGTCCAGGTCTAATCAAGTGATAATAATCCGAAAAACAGACGTCATCACGGTCTTGTAGGCAGGACAGCAATTTTCGATCCGATAAAATCGGTGAGGGTAAAGCCACCTCCACCCGCTAAGCACACAAAATTAGGGATCTTTGGTAGGGCAAACGGGTTGAAAGAAAAGTAAGGTCAAAAAGAGCTACTAACGTAATTAATATCGCCTCTCTAGATGAGGTCAATTTTCTCAATTGTGCTGCTAATATCGTACATTGATAGAAGTCGTAAAACTACGCCACACGGAACGTCACAACAGTACATCGCAGGAGATGGAACGACATAGCGTAACTCAAGATCAAGCAAAGATGACTACCTAAACAAGTCGCGATGGACAATAAAATTAAGCGGGTCAAGGTACACAGACACACAAGCGTACAACCATAGTCAATGGGGAACGTTAATAACCACAACGCAGACGGCTAAGTTGTCACGAATGCGTGGAAAGAGGCGAGAACGTACTTTCTCCACTGCCAAAATGTTGGATCTTCTCGAGGTGTTGATACTGCTGCTGACTACGCGAGCGTTTCTCCGCAATGCGTCGATCAATTTGCATCTGCTGCACCACCGACTGCTGGCTGCGTACGTCACGTTCCAGTGCCTCGCGGTCCCGCAACTCCTCGGCTAGCTGAAGACGACAGAAAGAACATGAAGAGTAATACAGGGAAGACAGGAATCAATCTGCACCTACCCGAGCCTCGGCGTCCTTCAAACGAAGGCGCAGCGTCTCCACCTCAACATTAACCATCTCGCGGTTCTTCATTTCACTCAACTTCTGCAGCAGCAACGTTATCTGAGAGGGAGAAGACGTGTGCCTGAAAAGGGGACTGTTTGAATCTGCAGGAACTGAGTTAAAAAAATCAGCACTCGTTTTTCATTCTCATCTTTCTCTGATTCGGCTACTACGTGGTTAGCACAGTGATGCCCATGCTAGACATCCTATACTGCATTCAGAAGGCAACTCGAACGCTAAATAGTCGTAATAATTCTGATGTTCTTGCTCTCAAGATGCTGGTTAGTCAATAAAGGTGCCGCGGTATCAGGGAAAAGCAATTTCGGAAGCTAGCCCAGAGCAAGCGTCACACTAGGGATGCCCAAAAACACCAGAATGGGGAAAATTTCACTAAGTTGACGATCTCAAACGCAATTTTTGATTCACGATCGTTGCCTGAATCGTAACTCGGTACCATAATTTATGTCAACAATGCACTCATTCGACAACTGCAGTAAAGTGCAGACAGCAGTCCTAAACATCAACAAAACGAAGTGTATGGTTGGGTAACACAGGATGCATTCGTCGGTTTGATAAACTGCATTTCTACAGGGTATTTTAGCCTTGAAAATGATCAACATACCAGGTGGACTATAGAAATGGGCTGAGATCAAGGAAATCGAAGATGAGCTTCCGTAGAAATGGATGCAGAAGTGTTCACAGCTAGCTGATTGGGTTTACTGTCGAGACGACAGTCACTTCATTATTTGAGCTTTGGTATATTGGTATACTTGCGCTTTCCATAACGAAGGTATACTGAGGCCAATAAGCGGGAGGACTTCATTCAGATAGACATTATTTCGTCTGCTTTTTGGGGGTTCTAGGCCGATTGTGTAGCGTTCATATTCTGATATAAACCAACCGCGGCTTTATATGCCAAATTTTAGTGTCATGCCAGAAAGTGAATGGATATATGAATTTGTATAAATTAAAAATTATAAGAATTACCCTAGAGTCTCTGTCATTCAGCTGACGCTCGAACTCCTTTACAGTATTCTCCAACTCCCGAACATGCGACACGGAGGCCTGAGACTCTGCCAATCGTTCTTCCAACCTTTGGAGAGGAGTGAAAGGATAAGACCAGGATCGTAAGCGACAGAAGCATGGATTCGAAAGCCATGATCGTTATGATATCCAGGATCATCTAGGGAGGTTCAATACGACGTCAAACCTTCATTTCTAAGACTTAATGAACGTTTCGCGCCAATAGCTCCCTATTCGAGAACGGCAACCAAGAAATTGGACAATTTAATGACTTTAGATTGATTTACGGACAAAGCATTTATCAAAACAAGAGAACGCATTTTCCTCCCAGATTCTACCAATGGCGCGGCTTATATGCTTCATGTGAAATCGTCCCATGATTCACCGCCCATTTTCCTGATGCGAGGCGATTCAAAGAAGTGGCAGAGACAGGAAAGTGTCACTTAAGTATACAAATATCACTTTAAAGGTAACACGCAGCCTATGAAGCCGTATTTACTGGATTATGGTCAGCCAGCGACAGCACATCGACGTGCTACTATGACGTTTCGCGGGTCAACTCACCGCGAAACAAGGACAATACGGTGAAAAAAAACAGGACAGTCCAAAGGAATTCCCGTGGAACAAAAGTCACCGCCGCACAGTGGACGAACATATAGCTTGCCTGAAGTGATCGGATTAAAGATGTCTAGTTCACTAAATTTAAAGGTCCCTTAATGAAACAAGTCTACCAAATAAGCACCAAAATTTATCATTTTATTTGTAATAAGAATCAGTAATCAGAAGTAGGGCCGACTGAAATTCGCCAGTGAGCAGGAAATCGGTGCTATGGTTGTTAATATAATACAGAAAGAAGGATGGATATGATGCTAAAGTACCTCCACTTAAACCAATTATTTCTGGAGCACTCATCTCCTCTTCAACAAGGACTAAGGCAACTCAGGTGATGCGCATTAAAAATGAGTTTCATAAACATTTCCAGACCATTTATCATACGAGAAATCTAAAACAAACTAGCAAACCCAAATAGGAAAAGAAACAAATTCCGCCCTAATCTTTCAAAGAAGGAGACAAGTGTGCGAAGCTAGGTGTCAAAACTCGAGAATAAGAAAAGTCCAGAAGTTGAGAATAAGCCCAGCTTTTTACAACGATACGCTGATTTGAAAAAAACTACACCGCATGTTCGAAGGAAGAAAAGTCTGCCAGAAATCAACCCCACTCGACAGTAAGAAAGCTAACATACAAGAGGGATATTGGGCACAGAAAAGGCAGCAGAAGATCCCGAAATAGATTCAAAAAGATAGAGCAGAAAGGTTATAAAAACGCACGTTTTGACACGTTCCGCCTGCAAAACCAGCTCCGCTTTGGCCTCAACTAGTTCATCCCGTTGGTCGCGCAGTTGAAGGGCCTCCCGTCGCAGTCGCACGACCTCCGTCTCGGCCGATTGGGCACGTTTGAGGCTGTCAGATAGCTGGTGGCGCAACTCTCTTGACACCGCCTCCGCATCCTCTCGTTCCGCTTCCACTCGACCCACCTCCAGCTCCAATGTGCGCGCTCGCTGCTCCGCTTCGTGGAGACGCATCTATTTGTAGCGAGAGGTACAGTTTGATGGAGGAGGAGAGGATAGAGAGCCTAAGGGTTGTGCAAATCACTTTCATGATGGGGAGAGGAGATTGAGATGCCAAGCTATGGAAGGGGTAGATCATTCCTTAAATCAGAAAAGAGTAATTGAGGACTCAAGCTGCCTGAGTTATACTGCTAACTCGCAATAGATGAGGAGAAAGATTATCACCGCCAATAACAGGCCGTAAAGGGATGGGCCATCACTCTAGGTGGAGAAAATTTTGGACCAAGGCAGATGTGCACAAAACTAGTAGTTGGCATACATGTTTCCTCAATACGGAGAGTCGATAAAGATATGTCGTTTAGACCGACAAATTTATCAGCTTAGGGGGTAGTTGGTGGATTGGGTGGATGATCAAAAGAATGTGATGTAACAAGAACCCAAAGCATCAGAATGTTACACTCACAACCAAAGGAGGCGCCAGTTCATGCCATCAGGACAGAAATTTGATTCCTACTGCAAACCAGGAACTACTGTTACGTTAAATGAGGGGAGGATGAAAAAGTGATAATATTTCGTCAAAAACATATTTTAGAGAAATGATCGAGTTTCAAAAACGCTTTGCCGGGTCCACTTTAAAAAACCCTAGGACTATGCCACCTGTTTTCGCAGTGGCAACTTGAAGAAATGAGTGGAAAAGTGCGCAAGAGATGATAGAGGTAGGCAAACCGCTCTGGTCATGCACAAAAAACGCTCAGTACGTTTTTCAATAATGCAGATGATGGCAGAACACATTAGTAATGGCGTAAGCTCACAAAACTCAAGAGCCGACGGAGGGGAAAACTTGTCTTTGCTACCATCAGCTGTGAAAAAGAGTTTATTACTGATTCACAAATGATGTTTTCGACATCATTCCACTTCTAGTGCAGGTGTTTGTTACAAAAATAAAGCTATCGGTTCTCGCTTAAGCCAGGCAGACGCAAGTCATCTTCAAGCAATAGGTCGGAAGATAGACAGTATGTACCTAAAATCGAAACAATCTAAAGGATCAAGGAAGTCTGCTCTCTCATGTGTTGAGAGAAGAGGTGTCAAATTAAACAAGCAAGCAAATCACACGGTCAGCAGGAGTTTGGTGCGAATCCAAAGCGAGGCAGTGACATGTGTGGAAGCATGCTTTTGGGTGGGATGTCTAGGAACAATCAGTTAAAATAACAACTTCAAGCTAAAATGGAAGAGCGATGAGGTGAAATCGTATCGCAAATGATACTTTCTGAGCAATGCCAAACTATGCTATGGATTCCATCGCATGTTTGGCGGTACAAACGATAGTTCTACGTACGCCGATGGGTAAAGACAAGGCTGCCATCATTCCAATTGCGGTGCAGTGAATACTAAAGGCACATTAACCGCACCAATTTGCAGCATAAATACATTTAATTGCGAGCACTGAACTGCCGTATTTAAATCCAACGTCTATTTCAAAAGGACCTAAGCGGAACATGAAACGCTTTGAAAAATGAGTGCGTGAAAGTCTGCGCAAAAGCTGCGGTAGTAGCACGTCTGAAAGTTAATGCGATATGCTGACGAGAGGTTCCTATTTTTAGAAAAGCAGCCACCCAGACAGTTGCTCGGAATGTGAAAAGACAAACCGATTTGGCCTGGAAAACCAAGGCCTGAGAGATTCTTGCAAATTTTCACTTCAACGATGTGCAAATGGTATCGTTTAACCCAACTAGCAACGTCAACGGGACGGAAACAGATAAGTACAGGCAAAAGTTAGACGAGGTTAACGAACACTAGGTGAGAACAGTTTACCACAAAAGAACGTTATATTAACTCGATGATCCTCATCACTAATAATGTTCCCAAAAGTCAGTTTACACCAATGCAATTATCGTTAGCTGCTTTTGTGTATTTAGCGTCTTTAACTCAAATGCAAAGCAATACGCGGTGAGTGCATGAGACGAAGCCAAGGCAAAAAGCGCTGAAGTCATTTCCGTAAGAAAATAAGGCAAGAAAAAGAGCTGCTTGAATCTAATGCTTGGCAAAGAGGACACGAATGGTGAAGTTGTAGAAGAGTCCTGCTGAGGTGCATGCAATAGGCGCAATGGAAATCAGATTTAGGACCAGACGAACTCGACTTCAAAAATACGGCAGCACATAGAATCTTCGGCAATTTCACGGGTGAGTAAGACAATGAGTATTTCGAGTTTCCAAAACTAGGACGACACAGATTGATGGACATGCGATAAAAAAAATATCATGCGCACAAAAGGGGAGGGCAGTTAGGAAGGCGTGACCATCAGTTTGGTGTTATTGTGCCAAAGCAGAAGTGGAAGGGAGGGGAGGTGCTAGGGGTGATTCCGCAGAAGGCTACGCCGTTAATGTGGTATTACCTTACTGGTGGAGCCACTTTCTTCGAGAGGCTGCTGAGGAGAAAAAACAGAGTAATCGTGTTGGGATAGATTTTATGCAAACTAAGATATCTATCAGCATTAGTACTTTTTGCAGCTGCCCAGTCCAATACCTGTTTGAATTGCGTAATAAAAAACAAAAAGGTCTACTCTTTAAAAGAAAACAATTATGCTAACTTCAGAGCTTAAAAAACAAGACTACTAGTGAATCAGTCAATCTGAAAATGTTCAAGATGACCTTTTTTAGTGCGCACAGAAGCAATATCTATGCGTGATTACTTCATATTATTATCGCCTAGAAGATAGGCCCAGAAATACGATAGCGGTCGACAATCACCAGTAATTAGGCAAGCTGCTAGTGAAAACAACAAAATAAGCCTTAAACATAGAACGAAGAAAGACGACGGATGAATCAAATCAAATAGTAAAAACATTACGCTACATTACCTTGATGTTCCAATGTGGAGACTCGACCAGAGTTTTAAGTGGAGTCAGAGGTGACATTGGAGGCTGCACTCGATTCTTATCAGCATTTGAAGTCGTGTGCTGACGTTGTGGTGGTGGAAGTGACGGTGGTGGCATCAACTGGACGCTTTCAGATACCTCTAATGTGCTGGGCCGTGGGGGGCTTTTTTTTGATTCATCCTAGGGGAGCAAAAACAAAATCACTACAGTATTTTGGCAGCAAAATAAACAGGAGACGTTGCAGAAACAGATTGTAGCATCGTCACGAGAACTCCTCACTTGTTTGTGACGGGAAACAGGTGTGCTTGTAGTGAAGGACCGCATGTCTTCATCCTCAGCATTCGCGCCATTTCCATGGTCTAAAGTCGCAGCATTTTTTACGGGGGTTGTCTAAAAACGGCACAGACGGAAAACAAGAAGTAGGATAATGCTACAATTACCAAACAAAGGGAATATTTGGACGAAAATACCTGTTCAATATCAGGAAAAGGGTCACGGTGCTCTACTTTATGATCCGTCAGCTGGAGGACTTTAAGTATATCCTCTCGCGTTATTCGCGATTCGTTAGCAATTTGAGTCATAGGGCCCTGAATTATGGCATAGATTGCAAATTGTACATCATCATCGAGGGCAAGAGCGGCGTTGACAAAATATTTAGCTGATTGTGTTTGCATTCCTCCAACTATTATCAAAAAAGCAACCTAAGAGTCTCAAACGTTCACTATGGTACTGAACTCACGAGTTCGCACTCTGTACAATCATCGAATAACCTATCCCAGCATACAATCTCATGAACCGGGAATCTATAAACTCCTGAAGGATTATATACACATCAAGATAACAAACCATTGAGGAAATTTTTTATCTTCTCAGTTGAAGAATTTGAGGGGGAGAAGCATAGTGAGCTGACATTCGGTATAAGTATGATATAATCTTACCACTTGTTCAACGTTTTGAGCAAACAACTTTCATCAATATACGTGACAGGTTCATCTATAATTGAACTAATCCACTCGCCCAACGCCCTCATCATACGCTGCACAAAGCAAAATACGAGCCCCGCGCCCCTCCTCGTTTTCTTGATAATCGAGTAAGATAAAGAACTTTACCGAAATGTATTCCGTAAAAAGTACAGTAGTTCATTAAATAAATAATAACTTGGACTAAAAATTATATGTTCGTATTTTAAAGGGTCACTAAAAGAAGATTTAAGGCCAAGTAATGCTTTAATGTATTGTTTTTCAGTTGCACTGGAAGTAATCTTGGCTTAAATTTGTGCTTAAAGTAGCCATCATTACTGGTATATGGATTCAAAAGGGCAAACAAATAAGTTTTACGTGCTAGCTGCCCTTAAACACCCATCTATTTGACTTCTATTATCGGACTTCATGTAGCTAATTGCATTAGGAATGACTAATTTTCCCCGCGCAACTGTTTGCTGTTTAATGCATCGTACTTATGTAGCACCCTGATGCGTCATTTATTTATGCATTTAACTATGTGAGCCTTTTGATCTCTACAGAAGGCACTTTCGTCAGCTGCCGCGGCCCTCAGGATGGGTTACTAGACCTTAAATGACGCATAGGTTATTTTATTGTCATGCTACTGTGCCTTATTGCGATCCTAGGGGTAGACTTGCCTCACTACGTCCCGATATCCAGTGGATTCGAAAGCTGTACAAGTTGAAATAACTATGGATCTATCACTGGACTTGCATATATAACTCGCTTAGGCAGAAGAAAACCGCGAATCATATCCTAACTGATTCACTGGATGAGTGATTAATACCTCCAAACAAGCCCTCATTTTCACGCTTTCCAACCAATTAGTTAGTAGGATTACTTAAAGTCACGACATTTTATGAGGTGGGAATCAACATCAGTTTTAGCCTGCAAAGTTGGTAGCAATCATATTGTAATACGATAGTGGTTTATCCCTTGGCATTGGTGAGGCGCCACTTTTGTACTTTGAATTAGCCTCCTTGTACCTCGCTGGGTGGGCTGGCCTTTTGGGCCATGCCAACAGCCCAGACACCTTCTCTGCACTGAATGTATATTCTGCTCGAGTATTTTGTCTTCTTTCGTCTTCAGGGAGTCCCGGGACGCTACAATATTCTTGGTAGGAATCAATCGTATTGGGGCATACAAAGGTATTTGTACTTGACAAACTATATTCGCTAGTCGAATTCGTCAATTCGTTCCACTGGCCGAATTTCCTCAACGGTTTTCTTATTCTTCTATTCACAAAATATCCTATAATCACAGAAGAAAAAAACATGGATTAATGCATTTAATATTCATAAGCCTAAAAGTCATGCAAAGGCAAAAAGATAACGGAAATGGGCGCGTGTATTTCATAGTAAAAAAATGAGAATAGGCTGGTAGCGCACTTTGCTTACATTCATGAAATTTGCCCCAGCAGCATTCGTTCCATCCACTCGAGACATCGTATCCTCCACCGCCGCATTCACAATCTCATCCAGAATGGCATTGGTTACGTTCTTCAGCACTCGTTTCCATGCAGCCGCGGCTACCTCCAGCCGGTCGATGGAGAAGTCAACCATCCTTTCAATGAAATCCACGGCGACGCGAGTGCGTAGTGCTGGCACAACTCTCTCCATCATTGCCTCAATTATGAGCTCACGACCTAACTCTCGGTATGCCGTGTGGCGCTGTCTGACTGCCTGGGAGACGAAAACATTGGTGTTGATGAATAGTTGGGTTACCTCGAAGAGTTTGTCGGTGGAGGGGATTTATGAATGCAAATGAAGTCAAATACTTTTCAAACAGAAGTTGTTGTAAAGGGCGGAACTCCTAATGACTCTATCCTACCGTGGAGAATGGTGTTAAAGTGTAGTTTGGACAAGCATTGACTACAAACTCACTTCTCTAATGATACCATCAACAGCAATTCGTCCACGTAACTCGAGGGAATGCAGGTGCAGTGCCTTCTCCACGATGCCATCCATAAGGTTAACTTCAAGTTCTGAGAAAAAAAGAGCAAAAGAGTTGGACAATGCAAAGTACTTCAAGGGGTAAATACCAAGTTAGACTGTAGAACTGTCGATGAGTATTTAGTGGTGGCGTTTCGATTAATACATGGGCACTGGCAGCTAAAAGTTGAATGACACTTAAATCGAGATGCTAGTTCTATTCCTCTTTCACTACTGATATAGCTATCCAATCTTCAAAGCCATCATTCTATCCTGTTAATATTTAGCTCAGAAGCTTCACTCACCCAGTCGAACGTCGTCATAGAAAAAGCCACGCACCGCGAGCATTTCGAAGGTGTTAGGCAAAAGAGGTTCCAAGTAGGCCTTGATGAAACTACGGGCAGCAATCTTCTCGGCTGTCTGGCGCCGCATCAGAGCTTCGTACTCAGCCTCCTGCCGCCTTCGCTTCTGTTCCTCTCTGCGCACAAAACCGCAAAATAAAAACACTATTGATACCGTATAAACGTGATGGAAACAGAAGTGATTGATAAAATAGAAGTAAAGAAATTTAAAATGGATGAAAAGATTACGAATAAGTGGTTGCATCCAAAATGAACGGTTCTGAGATGATTTACAGATAGATAACTGCGCGATACACGCTAACCTTCGACGTCGATTAAGCTCCTCTAGTCGTTCAACTTCTGCAAGCTCAGCATCCCGTACTTCTTCAAAGGCAGCCTGCTTGGCACGAATCTCAGCCAACTCCTCCTCTTCCATCACCTCCATCAACGACTGCTCCATGATCCTGTTCAGCAGTACTTCTAACATGGGTACCGCTTCAGTGTAGAAATCGAAGAGCTAAGAGGTGACAAGAAGAAGACTGTAAATTAGAGTTATCCATTAAGAACTAGGCTGATATTGCCATTTATTAATGGCATGTCTTGGATAAGTCACTTTTTAGGTTACCCGAGACGTAAATTAGATCATCAATTCTATAAGGATTCACGGACAAATAACCTACCTCCCATGGTTCAGTCTGGATGGCAATATCAATCCCGGTTTTGGCGAATTCAATCACAGGTGTGATTGGTCTATCAATAAACTGCTCCGTCTGAATCCCATAGTCGTCAGTTTCGACAACATCCGAAATTTCAAACAGGTAGAGACCAGTTTGCGTGGGGATGGATATCCTCCCATTCGCCTCCACCACTGTAGCAATAGGACGCGGTTTTAGGTTTAGCTGCAAAATGTCCCTCTGTGTGTGACAAACACATTGCCAGTGACTTCATTGGTCCGACTTAAGGAAATCTTTATAATATCACCAACTGTTCTCAGAACCAAAGAGCTTAGGAACATTCGACTTGTAGTACGGTCGACGAGATCTGGGAGCGGTATGGTTAATTTACCTTATTAGCAAGGAGAAGCTAATCAAATATTTGATGAAACGAGGAGGGACTCTTTCACATCACTTGAGGGATCTATCAAAGAAGGACATAGGTATCAGAATTCAGAGAGGTAATGATATTTTTGAGAAAATCATAGGAACATACCATATAAAATAGCAAATCCGTATCATGAGTTACAAAAAAATTATCAAAAAAGAGAAAAATTGAGGTCTATACTGAAGATGGTCGATAAAATTACGGGTCCGGCCAGTGGCGGGGGTTCGGTGGTCTTCCACTAACCCAACTCGCATTTAGTGAGCAACGAATTTCTTCGGAGCGGATTTAAGTAGTACACCATAACCACACACCTCGATCATCGGTGCTCGGGGCATCACCAAATTTAGGCCGAGTTCGAAGCAAATTAATTTCGACTGATTTGCCATCCTTCCATCGTCGTTTCACACTTCTTGGAAGAGACAAATTTCTGCCTGCATCATCTTCCTCATTTCCGTCTATCAGAGTGACGACGGGGTTTCTGAATAACCGAATATGCATAAAGTTTAATAATGATATTTTATTCATTGTAGACAGCGCTTGGAATGCGTTGTCATTGCCTCACTTACGCGCCTCCGTTTCCTCGGACAACTGGGAGACTGGCATAGATGTAGGCAGCCTTGTTATTTTGTCGACAGCATGCCATTGCTTAGACGATCATGTATTTTTTTGTCTCACGGCCCTCAGTTTTTAAATTATTCTTTTTACCTCTTTCATAAACTCGCGCCTCATGAGAGCGAATCAATAATCACGCTTCCAGAAGTCCTTGAAAGTAACTAATCGAATGAGGGACAGCGAATGTGACCGAGTCGGAGGCAGGAAATAAACGAGTGTCTAGTCGATTGCTTGCTAATGAATAGCTACTAGTTGCTGTGGTTTATAAAATTGCTGTATTGGTTAATTATTAATGGAGCTTTTAAAAAAGACCTGATGTGTAATTTATCGTCGCATGTAGGCCAGAAGAACCTTTAAAGCTGGTCAAGAGAAAGTCTTCTAAGTCAATTACTACTTTAAATTAAAAAAAGTGATTTACATCAAATACATAGATAGAAAAAATGCATATGATTTAATTTGTAGGCAAAATGCTTTACCTATCTGTCATTCAACAGCTTCACAGATGACAGTTATTAGGCCTCCTTAAGTACGGAATACATGGACACATCAACTACCATGCTCTTAGGGTGAAAAGGAGTAAGAAAGGCGGTAAGGTACATTTTCATCCCCATTCTATCAAAATGAAGTGGAAACCCCCATAATATGATAGTCAGAGTTCAATAAATTTGTGGACTCTCATGGCACAGCATTCCTGGTGTTATTAAGAATTGGTTCCCATACGGTTTGACAGCCACCGATTCTAGCCAAACTTCCCACCTGCTCTGAAGTTTTTCTACTTTAAAACTTTTACCTGTCTTATTTTCCCTGCTCTCCTCTTCTATTTCCTCAACATCCTCGAGCTGATTCGTAGCTGGCTCATCGTACTCATGGCTACCGAAGGCCTTCTGCATACTGTGAAGCCGCTGGAGTTTAGGCACATCTGGTCGCGCAAAATTGTCACTTGCAGTTGCCTCGATTGTCAAGTTTGCTTGTCTCATGCGTCTCCCCAGTCTGATCTACAACCTACATGATGAAGTGGCGGCAATATCCCTAAACCTTGCTTTGATCAGTCTACTTGAGTCATCTTTTGGTGGATTGCATTCTCCTGGCTCTTCTACCTGAGTGTGTGATGATTTGCACATCAATGACGACTGCCGTGTTGGTGAAGCGATGGAGTCTGGAGAGAGGCAGGCTAGGCACCAAGGTACCAATCAAACAGACGCGTGTTTTGAGAAATTTGAAGACGATTTTGGTGATATTTTTCTTCCTCTCTTTGCCTACGGTGCCGACGACGATTCTCCTCTTTTACTTGGTCCACTCAGGCAAACAGTTAACGCAAGTCATGAGGGGACTGGTAGATGGACTGGCGGCGGTGACAGATTTCTGCTCTCTTCTTAATTCCGTCACTTATATTTTTGTGCATGTGGGACACTCATCGAGATGTCTGGCAATCCTGGTGAAGATGCTCTGCACAAAACACCATACTAATGCATTTCGATGTGAGAGATGTCGAAAGCTCAAATGACTGATGCGAGATTAAAGTCCCTCGCTCTTACAATATTTATGTGCTTTTTTAAAAGGGTTTGAAGCATATGAAGATCCGTGAATGTCACACTCTAATGAATCAAATTGGCCTTCCCATGGCTGGCTGAGGCAATAATGGCAATGATTGGGATAAAAAGTTCTATTAAACTAATTCAACGGCAGGATTTGGGATGAAATTTCTGTTAATAATATGATCAAGACATGTCAGTCATGTCCACTCATGACGTCTACATGTGGAAAGTGCTATTTTAACCTTTGTTTCCGGACCGGCTTACTTTTATTATCATTTTGTGTCAGCGTCTCCTCTACAAATGACCCTTGCCGACGACCTGCTAAATGCAGCGCTCAAAATCATCCCTGGGAACGAAAGAAGACATAAAACTCGGGCAGAATATGTATTTTTGACTCACAGCAGTGCTGGAGACTACTGGCATGTCTCAGAGGTCAGGTCGTCCAACGGGACTCAAAGTGGCGGAGCCCCTAAGTGGTCCTTTTACCAAAATGGGAATGAAAGGTATTACCGCTTTCTACTAAGAGTGGTATCCATCTGACCAACGTAGAGAAGCTGAGGTCAGTAGCATGATCTGTAAGGGCGGCTCAACCGATAGGACGTAAAGAAGGACAGTATTAGCCTTTTATTATTTATGGTCAAGCTATAAGATAGCTCATCACATGGAAGTCCGATGATTTAGCTCAATCCAATGGGATCGAGGCTTCTTGCCGTCTACACCAAACAAGGGGTAAGAAGTCTTCTCATTTTTCTTTTCCTCTTTAATAAAAAGGGAAACGATATTTCCCAGCTAATGGTATAGGTAAGCACGAGTGGTTTCTGTGCTCACCTTTGTATTAAGGGTGCGGTCTGGGTTATTTTTTATAGCAAGGGAATAAAAGGGAAAGTAAACTAAAGAGAATTCGGTCAATAAGAAAAACAGCCGCCCGAGTCTGGTCGCTCCACACTTGTCATTACAATGCCACTTAATCTGGCTGCATGTGCATTTAGGAGCGGAAATGAAAGAAGGTCTGAGATTCGGCTACCATTTCATGATATGGGTTGCAAGAAAGTCACGATTGGTGGTCAAACATCTACTTGAATTGCAGATTCCTTAAAACACCTTCCAATGAGATCGACTTTTGTAGTTTCCGCTTTCAGAGAATTGGCTTGTACTCAAATTTTATTGCAGGTGGGAAGTTTGGCTAGAATCGGTGGCTGTCAAACCGTATGGGGAAGAGGAAAGCGATTTACGGGGTGGAGACGCTGGTAAGGAGGAGGCGGGTGGCTTGAGAAGTAACTCCGTCGTGGTAGAAGAGGTAGAGTTTGAAGCTATTGGCCCCTACACCTAAAAAGGCCAAGGGCACGCCGATGCAGACGCTGAGGATGGTCTGCATTAGAGTGTACAGGTACAGCATAGCAGCAGCGGTATGGCAAATGATCATGCGGTGGCTGCTGCCGACCAACAAATGGAACAGCGTGCGTGACACTGAAGTTGACATTAAAACTCCTGGCCAAGGCAATTTAAAATAAGGTAAGGCGAGGGGATTTCAAAAGCCATCATTGCATATGGTTTCTCCTTGCGGGTGTTTTTGTGTTTTTACTACTTAGTTGACAATCAAGCCCCTACCGTGGTTAAATAAAAACCAGTTTTTTTGTCATGAGCAATTAATATCATTGGTGTTTAAGGGACTTTTGTGCAAATAAGCTTAAGAGTGCTAAAACTTTCAAATTATTTAGTCAAAAAGGGATATAAACAAATCCTGGATATGTTAGTTAATAGCACGTAAACTACCGCCAAACTATATCTCAACAATCTAAAAGTGCTGCTTAGATAAATTTGGGGACTTTTCGCTTAATATATATTATTGAATCGAAGTCTGACAGGAATCAAATGAAATTTTCTGAAGGTGGGAAAAATTTGTAGGCTCGGAATACAACCGAATTCGGTCCACGTTGTTTGAAGTAGTTAAATCTGCTAGAACTATCACAGCAATGTGATCGTTTTCTGGCACCCCAGGTCTTGTATGAAGTCGAAAGAAAATGCATTGCCAACGAACAAAGACTCTGATCCGCTACTGGTGTGGACCGGAGACCATGCCGCCCAGAAGAATAGCATTGGTGAAGCCTTAGGTGTCTTTGCAATCAAAACGTTAAGTCAAGCAGGCTTTAAGATTTTATCATTAGTTTTACTCTCAGTTTTAAGCACTAAAGTCTTCGCAATTGTATTTCCTCCAGGCGACATAGCCATGGCCAATTCCAGTAGACCCTAGTGTGGAGCGAGGCTCCTCGGTCTCCGCTTCCCAATTCCTAGCGTTCCTAGACAAGCCAGGTTGATTTGCTTTGGACATCTTTATTAAAGGTGACAAGATGGATAGGGAAAATACAATATTCAAGAAGGAGGGGAGCCGCAGTCACAGGGTAAGGGAGAGGACGATCCGGTAACAAGGTTCGAATTTCCTGCTTGCCTCCCCCCTGAAAGGCACATTAAAACAACATAAGTATTACACTAGACTGTCCTGCAAACAAAAAATGCCTTTCCGGCTCATACAGCACGACTTTTTTGACGTAATAAAAAATTAAGTTAGTACAAAACTGTATAGCATATGGTTACACTAACTCTTTAAAAATACTTGATCCAAGTACTTGAATTAAATAATACAACCTTAAAAATTAAATTAAAACTTTTGCAATTTAAGGACTTGTGCCGGCCATTTTAAATTTTAAAGTCTCATTTTTTTGCCAAAGCTTGCTAAAATTGTGCTATTAGCTTGACTTTCTATAAGGACAATTTATTTTGTTTGACTCTGTGTTTTCTTAACCGCCATTTTTGAGGCAGGGTCCCTATAGTCCGTTGGATTAGTCATGACGGAGCGGTACAGCTTTTCTCTAACGACATTCAGGTGAGTTTTGTAGCTACTTTTCTCATTTTTAGCCCATCTGGAAAACTGCTCCAAATTGAATATGCATTAAAAGCCGCTGAATGCGGTGCTCCATCCGTTGGCATCCGTGCTTCTAACGGCGTTGTGTTAGCTGTCGAAAAGAAGTTCAATTCTGAGTTGATTGATGAATCTTCAATCTCCCGCATTGAACCCATAACCAACTCCGTGGGAATGGTGTACAGTGGCTTGTCTCCAGATTACAGGGTTCTTGTTAAACAAGCTCGGAAATGCGCACAGGCTTATCAGCTAGCTTATGATGAGTCCATTTCTCCCGAGCAACTAGTTACCCGCATTGCTGCTGTCATGCAAGAATACACCCAGTCAGGGTATGTTAATTTCATTGTTGGTTAACGATCAGTTTACTTCTTTTACGACTAGAGCTTTTTCAATCATTTTGTTTGCCTCCTTCCAGTAGTAAGTAGTCCACAAAGTTTACCGTGGTAAAACATGCGCTGTTCCTTTTTCCAGCATGCAAGCAATGCGGCTGAAAAGCCTAAACTTTCTACTGATGGGTATTTTTAAGTCATTAACTGTTTTTGACATCTGTACGATTTCCACTTTGTAGGGGTGTACGACCATTTGGTGTCTCATTACTCATTGCTGGTTGGGATCACAATTCCGATCGAGCCTATCTCTATCAATGCGACCCTTCCGTGAGTTCTAATTGTTGAAAGAATTTCTAAATGAACCAAGCAAGAAAACTTCAAACCTCTGAATTTTTTGCTTACAATATGATCAACAAAATCCTATTTTCATCTGGGTAATTTTACCTTAAAATATGTATTTTTTCCGCTTAGGGCACTTACTTCCCTTGGAAAGCCACTGCACTGGGTAAAAACTCGTTGAATGGCAAAAATTTCCTCGAGAAGCGGTAGGTTGAAAATCTCGGATTTTGTTAGTCAAGAAATACTCTAGATGTGCCAGTCATGCTCATCATTTGGAACCAGGATAATGCAAAATTCTTTGTGGTTTGTCGGTTAGGTGGTGCTCTTTGTCCTTGTGTTTGTTTTGCGGCGGCAGAGTGAAATTCTCTTTGATGTCGGTGTGCTAAACAAAACAGGTTTTCATTTGTAGAGGAAGAAAATTAATTCTTGTTTACTTTAAGGTATGATTATAGGGTTATTCAATCACCGTATTTTACTACCATGTAATTGGTTTTTCCTTGTCAGGGTAGGGCGAAAATTGGTGCACACATTTACTGCTCGGGAGTTGTGGTTTCTTTCTTTTTCAATTAATAAACCAGATTTTGACCTAGTCTGTGCTTTTTGTTTTTTATTCCGGTCAGGTACAACGACAAGTTGGAGTTGGAAGATGCGGTGCACGCAGCCATTCTCACATTGAAGGAGAGCTTCGAGGGTCAGATGACGGAGAGCAACATCGAGATCGCTGTGTGCAATGACACGTGTTTCCGCGTTCTGCAGCCCTCTGAGATCAAGGATTACCTAGCCACCATCCCCTAAAGGCACTGTGTTTATGCTTTTCCCTCCATCCGTCCCTGCACTTCGACACTATATAAAGCTCCGTTAGGCGTTATTTTTCACCCTCTTTTTAAATGTTACCGCTTTGTGGATTTCCTGGGTCATGAAATTTGGATCCATCAAGGCAATTCAGCGGTAACCCTATTGCCGTGTCAAGAACGCTGCAGTCATGGGAATCTGGGTAACCTTACATTGGTGCAGTGCATGACAATTTTACTTATTTAGGTCAGTAGCAATAAATATTGGTCAACCAGGTAGGGATGCAGTCTGGGTTTCAGCTTCAACTTAACGAAATGCATGTTGGGTGTCCGATGTCTGGCTGGGATCGGTGAGGTGCGATTGTCGCGGTGGCACACGTTCGCTTGCTTACCATATGACTTGGCTCCGTGCGTTTGTACCTTGAAGTACAAAGTGAGTTGAAGTGGGGCTTGTTTCGTTCGGAAAAGAATGGGCAACAAATGATTCCTTGGCTATTCAGTAAGTTGGGGTTAATGTGGGCACAAGTGTAGCTGACGAAGTTGCACAAACCTTGATGGTCGCTTCAATTGTAGTGCGCGCGTGTACTAAAGTATTGCTCTTAATTTTACAGCCAGGATGCTGTCCCAAGTAGCTCCATGGTGAATTAGCTGCGGAAGGGAGGGTTATCGTTCGCGTAAAATGGTTACGTATACCAGATCATTACTGTATTAAAATCCTAGGGTATAGAAGAGAAAAATAATACAAACTACATTTTATGCTATGGTAGCAAACAATTCCCGACATATAGGTCGTTTGGAAGTAGCTTTTGCGACATCAAGTGGCAATTCGTATGCCATTTCCACCTCCCGTCTGCTAGCATCTGCAATTATTGTGAATGGTTCCTTTATGGTTGGTACTATGACTTGGCTCCTGTATCAGTAACAAAGGCAGAATAGGCAGCAAAATTGTTGATTAAGCTATATTCACCTTTTCTGTGCTACTCTTGAAGGTATTGCAAGTCTTTATGAGATGGTAAATGGTAGTATTCGGGATAAAACAGCCGATGACGCTACCAGAGTCGTCCCATTGAACGAGACGACATTGTGCTCCTCAGTTGGCCTCAAAGTTTCTTCCTGATGCCAAAAAAAGGCATGAAGGGAAAGTTAATGAGATCCTAAGGAAACACAAGGAAGCGTCTATTCGTCTATTCTACGCGGCTTTGGCACCAAGGTTACCAGCTCACAAATCTAAGAGTCACACAGGAAATTAAGGCCCTTCACCTCAACCATGCTTCCGTAGCGAGTTTAAGCATGAAGTCCTATACCAGATATAACCTGAGAAGTAGAAGTTCCGCATTGGAATGAAAGTGGCCAATGGAGGTACACCGCGCTGTAAAACGCGATTGAAAAGAACTCCAGATTCTTCGTAAATCCATTCCAAAATTTTAAAGCTGATCTTTTAATTGAAAGGAATCATACTGATATGCCAACCGCTATTTTGACTGGGACACTATTGAACCACCCGCTAAACAATGACGAGATGGACCAATGACTGTTAAGGTTCCGACGGTAGTAAACAAATCTCCTTTGTCACATTGAGGTTAGTATGGTACACTGGGTGGTGGTAGTGGTAGTGGGGCTTCACCCGGAATGCAAGCTGCTTTTGCCTCGTTAGCACTGCTGACTGTCCTCATTCAAAAAGGTACGTTACAACCATTTAATCGCACTGGGTCAGCTGTGGCCATGACTTTTGCATCTTGTTCATGCTCCCACATTCCGTCTAGGTTGTTTTTTGTGCATGCTTGCGGAGCTGCGTTTCCATCTGCGTTGCGAGAGGAAAGTGCCCCCTTTCAGTACTGATTTGGGATGTTCATTTTAACTAAGAAAATTCCTGCCACATTCCGTCTTAGATTCAATGACACTTCATTAACAGGGAATCTTACCAAACTAGTCGGTGGCTAGGACTTTCTTCTGATCTTGCAACCTAGATGTACAGTAATTAGAAAACCAAGCATCTTTAATGTAAATTCAGCGCTAAATTTACGGGTTTTCTGCTGGTGGTCACAGGAGAGAAGGGATGAATACTGAATCGGGTATGGGCGGTGACGTCAACGCCATGGCGGCACGCCATTGTCTGGAAGCAAATAGTATTTTGTTCTGCAATGTGCTCTATTTTTGCATCAACCGTTCATTTCTTATAAGAATAATGTACTAGGCCACTTTTTAAATGAGCTAGAGCGCTGTAAGAGCATGGTCTGCGTCCGCTCTAAGGGATAAACTCTGGAACTAAGCATTTAGCAGCACTTGTAGCGATTCGTATCAAATATTCGCGGCTCCTCCTGGTACGCAGCGGTTTTCAAGGTGTTACTGGCAACAGATTTTAATCCCACATAATAAGTTATCTGTACATGTCGGATTCACTTCCACGACGTGGATCAAACATAGACGGTAACCAAACAGATTCATTATAAAAATTAACTGAAGAAATCCTCTTAATCTTCCTTTGTAAGTCTATAGTCCTCTTCCAGGGGACGTATATTTGCGAAGATCGCTGTTATAGGCCGTATTATCCATAAAGGCAACTAACTTCGCCTTGGCCGTACCCGATTTCCACTTCACCACCATTTTCTGATCATCTCTTTTATTGCTCGGAGAAGTATCATCTGGGGAATTTGCAGGATGAGGTGGAGTAGTATATTCCTTTCGTCCATCCTAAAGTGTGGTATGATGGGTGGGGTCCTCTATGAACAGAGCCTTCTCTCAACTATTTCACTGGTCATGGATACCCCCGAAGGAATGTTTCTTATCCAGAATTGAAATGTCTCGCACCCGAGTGTCCGTACCTGTTCGGCCTTAAACGAGTAAATTATTTCGTCCACAACCCACCACAGGCGAGGTAAGTACATCCTCCTGAGACTGTAGTGGTGCGTCCCTTGGAGGAGTGGGATGGTGCATAGATCATTGGACATAACCGATAGCATGTTTTTTCGCTTAGTAAAAGGTGATTTAAAAAGGCGATTATAATCGCATAGAAATTAATAAACAATCTCTTCCCAGTGGCTCATTTTTTTAAGCTAAACCCGGTCCTCTTCATGCCTGTCGAACACTCAAACGCTTTACATTCACCATGCTTCCTTAGCCATTTTCACCATTTAAGATGGACCACAAATGACTGCAGAAATAAAACCCCCAATTTTAATTCGGATCACGGAAGCCGCGGAGAATAATTTTATGTCTCCTACTCACAGCTTCCGCTCGTACTATTTAGTGTCTGGCGAAATTCTACTCTCTTACCATTTATATGGTTATATTGTGAAATCTCAACTCAACAGTGCAGTTTAAAAAGACAGACATAGAACCCCTTTGGAGGCGGTGCATGCTCTCTTTATTGACTTCATCATACTCCGGCCCTAACCAAGAAAAGAATGCGATCAGAGGCACACGGAACAGCTTTTCTTCCGCCCTAATGGTTCTTCCCGCAGTTCTGCCTCCTTTCAAACTATCACAAGCTAATTTGGACGTCCACATACCTTTTAGGCTGCGGTATTCTGTGCTACCAATGCGACAGCAACGAGGACGACACATGTCCAGCGAGTCGTCGATTTGAGCCACGACTGAATGCACTGGTGGACTGCGGAAGTTTCCAGGCACGTGTTCCAGGCACCTTCTGCATTAAAATCTACCAGGAAAGCACGGGTTGGTTCAGTTGGATCAAAATTACTCGACGCTGTGCCGCAAGAACTGACTACGGTAGGCAAGTCTCCAATTTTTCTAAAATAAATAACCCACGATGCTCCGATGACATAGCTCAAGTGACGATAAAGCAATGGGGTATCTGCACCTACTTAACAATGCCAGTTCCGGCTACTTGTGAAGAAAGTAATTTTATTTGCAGGAGTGGCAAAAGGTTGCCGCTATTGGTTTGATGATCAAGGTGTCTACCACGAAGTCTGCTACTGCCAAGACAGAGACGGCTGCAATGCCGCTAGTCAAATTAAGACAGCCTTTATGATTGCTACTGTATCAATGCTAATACTCTTTTTGGCTTGACAAAACGTGCTGATTTTGTTTATTTCATCTACATGAACGAATACAAATTTTTGTACTATTTATGCTACTGATAGGAAATTTAAATTAACTATAGTACGCTACTTATTGATTGAACTCCAGGTTTGGACAACAGGCCGCTTAGGGACCCCGTCGTTTTACCTATGCTGGGCAGCCTGTCTTCCGGGCCAAAGCAGTAGTTTCCAAGCCCCTTTGTACGCCAGAACTATATATTCTACCCGAGTATTAAGTCTACTTTTACCTTAATGGAAGTATTGGTACGCCATTATTAAACTGTGTGAGAGGTTGAGTCCCTGTGTAATGCTTCGATAGTATAGTTAGC